GTCCCCCAGCCCCTGTCAGGCGCAGCAGGGGCGAGTTGGAAGACTACAAAGCCCAGAGTTCCGTCAGAAACCGGAGGGGGGGCAGGAGAGGGGGGTGATATCAACAAGGTTTCCTCAGGAAACCTATATGGGGGGAGGGGTTGCATTTAATTATAGGTATAATTGGGGTGAAGGTAAAGGCAGGTGGGGTGGGAAAAGGAGACCCCCACCCTCCAGAATAAGGCATGAAGGAGAAATGCCCCAGCTTTTTTGGGGGGGGGCTTCATTTAGGGGGCTCAGTGGGGAGGAGAGGCATGAAGAGGGCATCTGTGGGGGAGGGTAAATAGATAGGAGACTCCCCACCTCTTGAGGGGGGTGTGAATACATAGGGCACCCCTCCACTGAAAGAGGGTGTTCAGGGAATAAATGGAGTCCAGTCTTGGAAAGAAGGAAGGGGGGCTTAGGTTCCCCTGTGAGGAGAGAAATTTGAAGGGGTTTGGCTCAAATTGGGGGGGGGGGAAGGGTGCCCATGGGGTGCAAGTGGGACCCCTTTCCTCCAAGCCATGGGGAGGGGAAAAGGCAGGCCAATCCTGGAAAAGGCTTCAGGTTTCTCTGATGGGGATGATTTTAAAGGGTTGGAGCCCCATTCAGAGAGGTGCGTGGGTGGGAGACAGAAAAAGAGCAGGAAGGTTTTGTGAGGGGGGTTTGAATACATGGGGGGGTCAACTCCCCTCCATAAGGCAGTGTTACGTCCCTTATAATCTCTTTTATAATTGCAGTTCCAAGGCTAAGGTGTTACGTCTCTGTTTAGGGAGTAATTTGAAGGGGGTTTGGTCCAAATTGAGGGGTGGGGGGCTGTTTATGGGGTGTAAATGGGACACCCACGCACCCCCCCAAGGAAGGGGTACTGAGGAATGAATGCAGTCCAGTCCTGGAAACGCTTCAGACCTCTGTCATGGGAAGAAGTAAAACATAAAAGAACTAATCTGCATTCTTAATCACATCCTGGATTGTTCCTGATTTCTCTCCCCCCCCCTCCGCTTCTTTGCTTGCATGAACGAGAGGGGGGTTAGGAACGATTTGCTAAACAAAAACAAGATGCTCTGTCTTTTTGGCTATCACTGAGTTTCTGGAAACAAATGATCCAGGGGATGGCCTTCTGTGGACATCGATGATGATAAACTGTGAGACATGAGCCAGGAAGCAGAAGGCCCTCACAGCAATATCAGACTGAATTAATAGAAACTAAATAATCTGATGTTGCTTTGATGCAGCTGAGAGGACCTGCAACCTGTGTTTAGGAAGCTGGGTGGTGGGTTGCCTAGACGAAAACCTCTACAGGCAAGACCTTCATCCAGGTTTTACAGAAGCTATGTTCAAAACTGAAATTGTACTTTCCTTGTATTCTCATTGGAGTTTTTATTCTATTGGCATCTTCCTGCAAGGAGACTCCCTCCCCTCCCCATATTTTTATCCAGCTATAAAACTGAAAGGTCAGGCCCTGGGCTGAAATATTTTGCAATTAAGGCCCAGCGCTGCTCCACGCAGAGTGTAATTAAAACAAGAGCATTTGGTTTAAGAGCTTTTGATGACACAACCTTTCCTCTTGTTGAGAGAAGAGGCCGGATTCTTCCCAAAGGAACAAAGGAGGTTTGGTTTTTCATAGCATTAATACATTGCCCTGAAATGTGGGTTAATGCTGAAACATGCTGTCTCCTCATGAGGCCAGAGTCGAATTAACAGAAGGGATTAGCTTTAAACCTCAGACTGAAGAGCATCCTTCAGTGAGTGTTCAGACCCATTTCCGAGGCACGACTGAGAAGAATAAAAAGATTTTACTAGTTAAAAACCAGTTGGTTACACACAGGCCTTTACTCTAATAATTATTGTGCCTCCAGTTACAGACTAGTATTGCAGAATAAATTTAGGCTGATTCATTTAAATGAATGAATGAACATATAGAAAAAGCATCATTGAATGAGTTGTACTGAACTTGTTGTACTTGTTTCCGCCTTAGAGACAAGGGAAAATACAGATAAAAACAAAACTAGAGCATCTGGAGATTGAGATTTTCATTCAGCTATTGTATTAATGTTCCACTCAGTTGCTTTCCCTGTTTACATATTTGCAAAATTTCAGGTGAAATTGGTAGAAATTCCCAAGCTCGGGAAAACGATGAGGAGTGGGGTGGTCGCTTTAGCTCTGAGGGAGAAATCTCGGCCCTGCCCTTCCAAGTATGATTTTTTTTTCTATTTGTGCTTCAGGTTAAGTGTTTAGCTTCCTTTATTTTAATTCCACAGTTCCATGGGTAGCCTGTTAAAAGCTTGCACAGGCCGGCACAAAGCAAAGCGAGTGCCCTCCAACAATTCAGTAGGGTTATTCTAGGCATCAGGTGTGAGAACAGGATATAGCAGGCTAAATTATTCGGACATGGGTGGGATAGAATAATAGTAGTAATAGCATCCTGTGAAGGCCTTTCTGAACCTGCTTTATACTGTGGTGGTGCTTAAATTCCAAAAGATGCATTTATGTAATTTGTGCCAAGCCTTTCTATCAAAACAGTTGCTCAACATGATGTTGACTTCAGAAAAAGAAAACTGAAAGAGAAGCAGGATTAGCAATCTGGTTTGTTACGTTGCTGGTTCCGGGGAAGTCAAAGCCAAAGTCAGGAGCATCATAACAAACTCCAGTCAGTTGGAGCTTGGAAGTGAATGCTTCTTATCATCTCCTGTTGGATGTACTGATGATATTCTAGCTCAGCACAGAATTTACTTTCTCTGACTTAAATCAGAGGGGCTGAGATGTATCTAAATCTGGTTAGACAATACCCTTTTGTTCTGCTAAGGGTATGAATGTGGATGTTATCTGAAGTCACTTGTCCGGAAGATGTTTCTGGCTTAGGGCCACATGCTATTGTAAGGGAAAGTATATACTGTAGGTGAATGGGCTAAAATGGACAGGCCACCTCTTTTTCCCCCTTTCTCTGCAACTCCCTTGTCTCACTTCCTTCCTTTCCACAAATGAGTAGAATAAATTGCTAGTGCAGAGGGGTGTAGGTATGAAATTCGTTCCAAAGTGGCCAACCATCGTTATGTTCTACTTGACAAGATTGTGTGAATGTTCCTGTTGAATGTTCTGCTTATAGTTTTCTAGTCACAATGTAAACAATTATACAAGCAGTTCAAAAGTTGTCATAAAATAATTTAGGATGGCAACAGTGCAGTGGCTTCTAGGCTTTGAAATACCTTGATGGTCTATAGTTTCATTAAGCAGCTCATCGCACTCTGTGTGCATACTGAAGCAGTTCAGAGCGTAGGTGGGATGAGCAGTCGGCCAGAGTCCTCTTGCGTAGCTACACAAATGGAGTAACTTATAGAGACAGATTGCCTCAAGTTAAGAAATCACCATAGATGTAATCAGTCGCTGATATACAAACTCAGTATGTAACAGATAATATTTACTGTGTCTGCATAACTAGGCAGGAAGTGTTACCCATTGTCCCCTGGTGATCATGTTTCCAGTGATTGCTCAGCATTTGACTGATAACAATAAAATAATAGTAAAACAGAAGTTGCACAGGTGGAAAGGTTTATAAAACCCAAATCAAGAAACACAGATGGGGAAATAATTATCAGAAGTATACCTGAATACATTTCATTGTCAAGCGGTCTGCTTCCTTGTGCATTTCACAGTAGATTGTTTTGTGTGCCTGCCTGTGATGGATGACAGATCAACTTATCTTGTTCCACCTGTAAAAGATCACTCCTCCTTCCATCAGTGATCCTGTGGACTAAGCCAGGCTTAGACCTTTTGTATTTTATCTTTACAGGTGGGTCCTTGGCCAAGCTGGCTTATTATTCAACAGTACAACACAAAGTGGCAAGGGTGCGGTCTTTGGATCAATCAGGAAAGGTAGGTTCATTCTTATTAATTTGCATGTCTTAATTTATGGTTTGTAGGAAGAGGCTCAAAATAACCATGTGCTGTCAAGTCAATTCTGACTTATGGTGACCCTTTTCAAAGATTTCCAAGGAGAAAGTATTCAGAAGTGGTTTCCCATTCCCTTCCTCCAGGGGTCACCCTGGGACTGTGCAGTTTGCCCAAGGCTACATAGGCTGGCTCTTCTCACAGGAGGCACCCTGCAGGAAAATCAAACTATCAACCTCTGGCTCTGTAGTCAGATACCGAAACCAACAGGCTTAATGTGGAGATGAATTTGTGATTACTGTGATAGCAAATGCACTGTTGCAGTGCTTAGGTGCCACTTTGCTGCAAATTAAAAAAATTATCTCTAAGTTAGTTTTAATTTTCCTCCTAGTGGAGAAAAGTTTTGGCAAGAAAGTGGGTTTTTTTTAAAAGACTTTGTAGGTTTGTTTTCTTGAGCTCCTTGTCGTTTCTGTTCCTGAAGGATGGAGAACATGAATCGCCGTACGAAATCACAGTTCAGGAAGAGATAACAGCTCGGCTGCATTTCATTAAATTTGAGAACACCTATATCGAAACCTGTTTGGATTTCATCAAAGATCATCTTGTCAACACGGAAACCAAAGTGATCAAAGCCACAGGGGGTGGTGCCTACAAATTCAAAGACCTTATTGAGAAGAAGCTGGGATTAAAGTAAGTTGAACCACGAAGAAGTGAGCCTCATGTGGAGAATTATTAGACTTGATGGGGCGTGCTTTGATCCATGTTAAGAATGGCAGCCTCAGGACAGAACAAAGGAAGCCAATTGTGTCGGGAGGCACATTCAAATTATTTGTGTGCATCTAGATATCATCTGTGTATTCTTTGAAATATCGTGATTAGCAATTGACCCGTTGCCACTGAATCTAAGGTGAGCGTTATGCATTGGAAACCTTGTCCTATAAGCAAGTAAGGCTACAGTTCTCCAGCCCAAGTGCGGACAAACTGTGGATGTCCAAATGTCCTTGCCACTCCATCTCCCATCATTCCTCACCTTCAGCTGTGCTGTGTGGGTGTGATGGGAGTTGTTGTCCAGCATCCAGATGGCCACATTTTGCCCCATCGTTGTTACCTTCTCTTAGCTGGGAGGGAGTGCAGCCGAAATCAATGGGATTTCTGTGTAGCTGTTTCTAGCGAACCTCACTGAATTGAGCATGGCCTCTGGCATCAACCCACAATGCCATATGCAAATAAATCAGGCGTGAGACAGACGTATCAATGTGGGAAGTCATATAAATAATTACTCTGGCTTTTCTGTGCCTTCGGACTATGGGACTCTAGAGTTTCCACTTGGATCTTGAAGGTTTAGGTGGATTAGGTGGAAAAACGGGGTAGTAAGTTTACTTATTTGTAGGCTGACTTTCTTCCAATAAGGGGACTATGTGGCAGTGGGTGGGTGTTACAGTGAGACCAAAGGTCTACAAACAGGTAAAATAACCATGTACCTCTCTGATGGTGGCACATATTTAAAACCTTGAGGTAGCATATGATTTGGGGAGACCAAGTCTTAAGTTGTGAAATTATGAGATGTTCCTGCTATCTGTTAGCCGTTGGGCTTACACCTTGAGAAAGTAACATTTTTGTTCTGTAGGTCCTAGAATTACTCCATTGTTGTGCCCAAATTCTACTTTTTAAAGCTCTGGAGAAGGCAAGATCTCAAGATGGAACATGTCACCACAAATGAAGTCAGATGGCTTTGCAAAGCAGAGAAGGGGGAAATTGTATGGCAGAGCTGAAAGCAACCCGAAAGAAAGAGAAGGAAAAACATGCTTTAGTTGTTAGAAAGGGGCTAAAAGCCAGATCACATCATCGGACTAGCTTTCTTATTTATATGCATGGGATGGCAGTTCTCCTGGGTTTCGGGCAAGGATGGAACCTTCTGCTCACAAAGTCATGGCCCTTCTCCCAAATTAATGGCAAAGTCTTTTGTCATGACTTCAGATCATTAGAATACAGTATCTTTCAACTGAGTTTTAAGAAATCAGTGCTCGTGATGAAGGAGCCATCTGGTTCTCTACGTTTAAGTAACACTGTTGGTAAAGTTGTCTTTTTTTTTTTAAATTCAGCTCATGATTCTTTGCCTTCTGCAGGTTAGATAAAGAGGATGTCATGACCTGCCTTATAAAAGGATGTAACTTTGTGCTGAAGAACATCCCTCACGAGGCGTTTGTGTACATGAAGGATGCAGATCCGGAGTTCCGGTTCCAGATGAACCACCCGCACATTTTTCCTTACTTGCTCGTTAATATAGGCTCCGGGGTTTCCATATTGAAGGTATGTGAAATCTGCTGAACGGTTCTGAGCACGCAATTAAAATGTTCCTGTCAGCAGAACGAAGATGGGTGTTTAAACTGGTAAATAACATGCCTCGGGGTTTTTTCTGTTCTTTTAAAAAGACAGGATGAACCTTTGCCTCTTGTTTGCTTTATGGAAACAACTTCCTGCTCCTTTACATTCTGAAGTTATATCTCACATAGAAGCCCTTCTAGTAACTAGGGGGCAAATACATAGCAAAGCCAAATGCAGCCTTTCTTTTTTGGGGGGGGGGGTTGTATCTGTGTTGATTAACGATGCAGGCAGGTAGTGTTGGGGGTTAATGGGTTGGCTTGAGGGTTAAATTAGTTTGCTGTGTTGTTTTTAAATGTGTTTTTAGTATTGATTTTATTTATGGTTTTTAATAGCATGCTTAATCCCTTTTTTCAATATTTGTATGCTTATTAAGTTGGGTCTGTGACTGAATAATGTAGAATAGAATAGTAAACAATGTTTTTAGCTTTTAAAATATTGTCTTTTAATCATTGCAAACCACTTCAGGACCTTTTAAGGAGAAAGGCAGGGTAAAAATATTTTAAATAAAGGTGCTGCAACTTCTTGATTTTGCTCCTTGTTCAGTTCCGCAAACTCTTGTCTGTTGTGTGTTGCCTGCATCCCTTACAGGTAGAAACAGAGGACAAATTTGAATGGATAGGTGGGAGCTCCATCGGCGGCGGAACATTCTGGGGTCTCGGCACGTTGCTGACACAAACCAAGGTAATAGCGGAAGGTACTCTTTTATCCTATCTGGGCGATATTCCTACTGCCATGCTTTTTTCTTTCTTTTGGGGACAGGATGTGCTTTAGAGAAGTGGAATGACATGTTGGTGACCATTCTTTGCTTAGAGCAAGAGGCACACGTTGGAGCTATGGTCTCTGGAGAAAAAGCTCCCTCTTGCACCCAGCCGGGACCTCTTGTCTCTCCGCTGTCCCACGCCAGAGGGTTCCCCACCAGATTGCCTGTCGAGTGTACTCTGTAAAGTTTTCTCCCATATCCGCCTCCTGCCCAGGAGCAGCAATACGCAGGGAAACATGCAAAACAGAAGCAGGTTCTAAAGGTTAGAGAAGCTGCTTTGCGTGCTCCTTATGATGCCCAATTAAAATAGCAGTTATTTATTTAGGATGCCAAGAAATGGCAGCTGTTGCTCTTTCGTCAAACAGAAATGCATCAAAGGAGCTGTGAAACAAATTAGCTAAAGCAGAAAGATCTAGATGCTATCGCGTCCAAAAAAAGGATTGATATGAAGCCTCACAGAAATACGCTTCACAGTACTCTGTTGAAACAACTTAAAGAAACATAAAAAAAAATAAGATGGGTATGTGAGAACTCTAAATGAGACAGAGGGTTGCTAAAGGTGCACTGCTGAAATGCCCTTTTAATCTTACCCACCCTTACAGATGGAAACTCACTAGCATGTTCAGGGCCAAGCTGGTTTTCTAAGCTGGGAAAGCTCTTTGTATTATTTCTTGATGCGGGAAGCATTGACTTCTGGTCCTGTGATGTGGGGCAGTCGGACGCAAGCGACCTCCTTCGCTGTGACCTAAGCTTATGAAATTTTAAAAAAAAATCTCCACTTGGGAGCAGCCGGGGATGGACTTGACCCTGTTTCTACCAACACCCCCTGACTTCTTGAAGGAGAGGGAAGGAAGTCAGGGCCCCTCTTACGACTTTGCAGAACAATGAAGAAGCATTAATGGTCGCCCAGGAAGCGCTCAAGATGGCCCTCTTGCGGGGTGGGGCCTGTTTGTTTTTTCTTTCAGAAGTTTGACGAGTTGCTTCATCTGGCTTCGAAGGGGCAGCACACCAACGTGGACATGCTGGTGAAGGATGTGTATGGCGGAGCTTACCAGACCCTTGGGCTAAGTGGGAACCTGATAGCCAGCAGCTTTGGGAAATCGGCCACAGCAGACAAAGGTAACCCTGGAAGACCGCTTTTTATAGGGTCTTGCCGTCCTGGCCAGCCCCCTCTGCTAGAACCCCCGCCCTCCCGGGCATGCCAGTGGGGGTGGCTCCTTGCTCAGCCGTCCTTCAAAGTGTGATGTAACTGCCTTGCTGGCCCATCCTGCTCTTCTGGAGTGGTTGTTGAGAAAATGATGGGAATTGTGGCCTCGCTGCCCTTACAGCTTGGATTTCCAGTGTGGTGTAGTGGATAGAGTGACGGACTAGGGCTCTGGAGATCAGGGTTCAAATCCCCACTCAGCCATGGAAACTAACTGGAGGCGGGCATGGAACTGGTAAAGCCACTCCTTAGATAACTTCAGTGACCTGGAAAGTCCTGTTAGGGTCACTGTGAGTCGTTTCTGACTTGACAGCACAGAACACATACACACGCAGTGTAGGGTCGTGGATAGAGTGACAGGCTGGGACTCTGGAGGCCAGAGTTTGAATTCCCACCCGGCCATGGAAGCTCATGAGCAAGTATGTGTTGAGTGGAACAAGTAGGGACATTATTTAAATATTTACCTTGAAAGCCCCATTAAGGTCAGCGGAAGTCAGTTCTTGCTTGAAGGCACATAAGAATGAAAAGTCTAGTAACAACTGAAGGCCTGTAGTTTGTACATCCCTGCGTAAAACAAGTAGCAGCCACAGTCTCTTTGATTTATAAGAATTTGCCTTCAGTGGGAGAGCCAAGCCTAGCCCCGACTGCCAGGTGGGCTAGATGCAGGATACATGGTGTAGATTACCCGCAAAAACATGTCGCTTGCCTTAAAGCTGAATTCAAGGTAAAGCTGGGGCTCAGCTTCCACCCTCCTTTACTTTTGTTTGTGCCAACAAGGACATTATAGGTGTTGAACAGAACGACACCCCAAACCCCACCGGCTCTGCAGAGTGTTCTTGGATTTGCTCAAACTTGAACCCTCAAGGGTGTGTGATTGTCCCTTTCATTCAATCTTTTGCTGCCACTTTTAGATTTTTCCAAAGAGGACATGGCTAAAAGCTTGCTTCACATGATCAGCAATGACATCGGGCAGCTGGCTTGCCTCCACGCCAAACTCCACAACCTGAACAAAATATATTTTGGAGGCTTTTTCATCCGAGGCCACCCGGTCACCATGCGCACCATCACTTACAGTATTAACTTCTTCTCCAAGGTGAGGGACACGGGCTGTTTTGGAAAGCTAGATTTAAGCGCAGGAGGAGGGTGGCGGTAGCTTTAGCTCTGAGGGAGAAAAACTAAGAAAAGGGGGGTGTAAGCAGAAAGGAGGGGGTCTAGACGGTGGAGTAAGGAGAGAATTAGAAGTGCAGTCCTGTTCACGCTCCTCTGGAGCAAGTCCTAGGGGTGAGTTAAAAAAACTTGTCATTCGTAAAGCCTCCTGTAAGAAATGAATGTGGCTCAAGTATAATTCCTCCCTTGTCTAGCAGCTTGTCAAGGAGTTCAAAAGTGTTTAAGCCACGAGAAAAGGGGATTGCAAGAAGGAGAAGATAATGCTCCACGCGCTTTTTGTTTGGGCCGCAGATTTGAACTGACCTTTGGGTTTCGTGGGTTGTCACCCTGCACTCGTCTATTCCTGTGGGGTTTTATTTAATATTTTCAGGTAGCGGATAAGTGAAACCGTGCACGCTGATCCCATCGATATGGCAGTCCCACTTGTACCAGGCCAGAACTTAGAAAAAGTTATTTTTTTCAGGCTGCAATTCCAAAAATCCCTCTCTTAAGCTTGGGAGGGCCTTAGAAGCAGGAGCTGAAAGCCGTGCAGGTTGACGGATCCTTGGCGTAGGGGATAGAAATAATGCTAGTCACTTTTAAGAGCTCGGTACGTGCACCCTCTTTCTTTGACCCTGGCTGTAGGCTTGTTCGCACCCCTGTTAGGTTTTCAGTTCCTCACATCCGAAGGTGATGTGGGCTTTCAGCGTCACAGCCGGTCCTCACCCAGACTCGACCTTTTAGAGGGGCCAGCGTAGTTGGGTGAAAGAGCTGTGAGCGCCTAAGAAGACGCCCACAACATGAACGTGTCCTTATTGTGACAGGGGGAGGTTCAGGCCTTGTTCCTGAGGCACGAAGGCTACCTGGGAGCCATCGGGGCGTTTTTAAAAGGAGCCGAAGAAGACAGTAAGTAGACTGACCCCCCCTCTCTTCTGTCGACGCCGTGTTTTGAAAAGTGTCTCGGGGCGGAGGTGTCCTTTCTCAGAAATCCCCAATACGTGATTGCATTTCTAGGCACGGAGTTCCCACTTCCTCACTCCTGTTGGTTTTCGTGGCCTTTTGAGGGCTTTGGTAGCCCTTCGACCGGCTCGCTCCCTGCCAGAAGCCAGCGTTGCAGCTTTTGTGCAGAAAAGCACCAGGAAGGTTTGCTGCTCTGCAACTCTTCTACTCTCCTGAAAGGCGCAGTTGTGGCTTGAGAGGTGAAGGCCGGGGCAACCCCAAAGGGGAAACAGCTCCTCCACCCACACTGAGCTTAGAGAGCTAAAAACAGGAAAAAGGATTTCCTGCTTTCCCTTCTGGCCCCGAGCGTTCACATCCTGGTTAGGACTAGGAAAAGGGTGATCAGCCAAGAGAACACCGGATTCTCATTTCGGCCGCCTGCCCTGATATCGGGAGGGGGTCTTTACTGCCCTCTTCCATGCCGCCTTGCTCTAACCCAGAGAAAATAGCAAATTTAGCCACCGCAGTAGAGCAAGAGCTAAATCTGTCACCCTGGGGAGTTCAGTCGTTCCAGTAAAGTCTTTTAAACAATCACCAGAAGTGATTTCATTTTGTACACAGGAAAACCACTTTGCCGGGGAGGAGTTGGGGCACACCTCTTTTTTTAACCCGTGCACTGTGCAAAAAAAGCTGGGTTTGTTTTCGACACCATTTTCAGTGCTGATAAAGCTAGCTTGTGATTAGCATCCCTTCCCTTTTCTTCCTTTCTTTTTAAGTGCATTTTAAAGATCAAATCAATCCTGATCCAAGCAGTTTGGGGTGTGTTTTTTGGTATGTGTTTGGGTTTGTGGTGTTTTTTTAAAAAAAATCAGGGCAAAAGCTAAATCTGAGATATTTTCTGACTCCGGGGAATTTCCACAGGACGGAGGCTTAGCAGAAGGACTGGGGGAAGAGTTAACTTCACGTAACCAGTCCCCTATTTCCCAAGAATTCCAGTATCCCTCCCAAAGGGAACACAGCCCCTCCCAGCTACCAGAATGGGCTGCATTTGTTCCTTGGCCCCCTTGCTCGTCAAAAAGAGAGAGAAAGTACATCAGTGGCGCTAAGCGCCAGTTTGGTATTTGTCCCAGATTTTTTTTTTCTTATACTTTTTTTGCTGTTAAAAAACAAACACCACAAATCTAACACATCAAGTAGCTCAAAGCAGGCAACAGAGTTGACAGCTCTCCAAGGGAGAATGTCATGAAACGTCTCTCTTGTGGGTCTAGTTTTGTGTGGAGCTTGTGCACTCTTTGAAATATCCCTTCGACCAGTGTGTGTGGGGGAGAGCAGATGGTTATAAGTGTTGTTTGTGTCATAGGTTTCTTACTGACTCACACACTGGTTCCTTTATTGTAACAGGTGTGAATTTATAAGTAACTTATGAATTATATTTGCTGAGAAGTATTCCTTAAGTGTGAGTGGCGTTTTGGCATGTGTAAGGATCTGCCCCCCCTTTCCTTTATATCACAGGTTAAAATAAAATAAGAGCCATGTGGTCATCGCACGGCACAAATGTCGGATACTTTTATAGACCACTAAAGAAACCATAGATTCTGCCTCCTGAGCCATAGCTTTGAAGCCAAAAGTCTGCAATGCAGCCTGCCTCTTTCCTCGCTGACATTGAAGGCAAAGGCCTGGCAAAGCCCCTCTGCTATGAACTTTTGGGAGTCTGTGTTCTTTGCCCTGTCCTGTGGAAGCCTGAGAAAGTGGGTGTCCTGATCCATGAAAGCTAGCAGACGGTATGGTTTCTTTAGTGGTCTTAAAAAGGTATCACCCACTCCTGCCTTTCTATCGGGGGTTAAGGTTGGAGATGAAAAACCCATGGCCTTCCACGGTTGCCAAAGGCGAAGGGTGGTAAGAGCTCCAGTCGAAAAGGTCTATAGGGGGGGTCACAGCTGCCCATCCCTGCTTCGTACAGCATGTTTGGGGCTCCCCGCCCCCTCTCCCCGTTTAGACTCTCTTTTCCTTGCTTCTCCCCTTCCAGATCCCAATCTCTACTCCTGGGGAGAAAACTACGCCGGCAGCTCTGGGCTGATGAGCACGTCGCCGGACCTCTGCCCCATGCAGCGGGAACGGAGCGGCACGGTAAGTCCCCCCCAGGGCCAGGCGGGCCGATCTTCTGGGCCTTCTGATCCAAACCCCCAGACCCTTTCCACAGTAGCCTCACGGCCACTTCGAAAACCTCTCCTTTCGGCCTTCCCATTCAGTCATCAAAAGACCAAAGGCTGACTGAATCTCCCTTGAGCCACCAGGGTTGTGATAGCCTCCCCAACCCCCAATACACTCGCTTCTGCGCAGAGCTTGGAGTTCCAATTTCTGAGGTTGAAGAATTAAAAAAAAACAATGAAAAATGTGTTGCCTTTCACACCATGCCAATGTAGAAGAGGGGATACCCTTATTTAGACCACTAAAATGCAAATATTTAATGCAAGCTTTCATGAATAAAATTCACTGCCTTAAGCACAGGGTAGAAATGTTACGAAGGAAAGGCCTAAGACGATCCTGCCCGACACCGGCCAGGCGTCTCTGCTTCGGTTGAGAGGAGAGCTGCTTGAAGGGAACACTCATTTCTAGCACTTTGTCATTTACTCTCCCCAGTTTTGACTATAAACTTGCACCCAGTGGCTGAAAACCGGTTCTGGTTTTAAGATGGATGCCACTTTAAACTGGAGCAAGTTCAGAGAGGGCAGAAGAGATGATCGGGGGACTGAAAACGAAGCCCTAGGAGGAAAGACTGAAAGAACTGGGCAGGATGAGCCTTGTGAAAAGAAGACAGAGGGGAGACAGGAGAACACTTTTTAAATCTTTGAAAGGTAGTCGGGCAGAGGAAGGGCAGGATCTGTTCTTGATCATCCGAAGCTGCAGAACATGTAATAATGGACTCAAGTTACAGGAAGCCAGATTTAGCCTGAATATCAGGAAAAACTTCTTAACCGTTAGAGTAGTACATCGATGGAACTGTTAGAGCAGTATATCAACCAGACGTGGTCCTGGCCTTGATTATCTTAAACTTGAAAAAAACGCTGCTAATCAGTGTAGAGAATAACACTCCCGACAGACCAGTGCTTTGATTTGATCTCACGCAGATTCCTGTTGCAATTTAGGGTCTCACTCTTTGGTCATTAATGATAAGTTGGGATCTTTTCTGTTGTATCGAGAATACAGGAATAGAACTCCCATCACCCCTTATCAGCTTGGCCAACAATCGGGATTTCCAGTAGGACCCCTGTACACACAGGTGATCACTTCCAAGCCCTTCTATGGATGCCGAAAACTGCGGAAGCTATACATAGCATGGCCTCCGGCCAGTTCTGATAACTTCACCTTCAGAAATATTTTTTTTTCTAGAATTTTGCTTTTAATATTTTCAGACTGTGGATCAGTGAATCAGTGAACACTCATCCCTCAGATAAGAGGGTCCTACCGTCTTGGTGTTTCCGCCCCAGAATGTATAAAAGCATTGCCTTTCCTACCCGCGTTTTAAGGCATAGCTCCAGGTTTTTCCAGGGAAAAAACACAGATGTTTCTCCAGGTTTCCTCTTCGGCTTGCCAGGGCTGCTGTGCTTCTGAACTCTTTTTTTTTTCCCCTTCCCTTTCCCAGTTTGACCTGCTGGAAATGGATCGTTTGGACCGAACACTCGTGAACCTCCCCTTACTGAAGGACCCATCCACGTATATCCCAGACACTGTGGACCTCACGGACGATGCCATGGCCAGGAAATACTGGCTCTCGTGCTTCGAGGAGGCCCTGGACGGGGTAAAGAGCTTCTCCTGATGCTCAGGACAATGATAATTATCCTTCTGCAAAAGTGTGTGTGTGTGTGTGTGTGTGTGTTTTTAAGGTCACATGTAATATAAATGTAGTTGTAGAAGGGGTAGCCGTGTTAGTCTGTGCAAGCATGATAGGTAAAAGCAGAATAGAAATAAAAAGTTTAAAAAACCCAAATGTGGCACCCGAAATACTAACTTTTGAATTTTTTTAATATGAGCTTCCTGCCTTCGCGCCTTCTGAACATGTTTTGCTTTTAGACACTTGCCCGCTTACATCGGAAAAATAGCTCTAGCCAAAAGTGGCTTTACTGCCAGGAAGGTCTGTTCTCATGCTGTCTCCCCCTCTCAGCCTCTTCAGCGTTCCTTTTCTGTTCCTGATTAACCACAAGGATCCTGATCACCATAATCACCCAGTCTCCTGAAAAGGACAAAAACCTGATCCCACTCAACTATCCCACACTCTACACCAGAACACAGACAGAGTTCTAACTCCTGTCCTCTGAAGATGCCGGCCACAGAGACTGGCAGAACTTTAGGAAGAAAAACCTCCAGAACACGGCCAAAAACAGCCCAAAAAACCTGCAACCATCGGATCTTGGCCATGAAAGCCTCCGAGAACACATTAACCGCAAGGAGTTCGGAAGCAGAGATCAGAGATCCAATTCTGCTCCCTTTTTCATAGAACCATAGAATCACAGAACAGTTGAGTGGGAAGGGCCTCGAAGACCATCTAGTCCAATCTAGAATCACAGAACAGTTGAGTGGGAAGGGGCCTCAAAGACCATCTAGTCCAACCCACCCTGCTCAAGGCAGGAATCCAAAACAAAGCAGATCTGACAGGGGGTTGTCCCATTTTATCTCGAAGGCCTCCCGCATTGGGGCGCTCGCCTCCTCTCAAGGGCATGGGTTCCGTTGTCGTATTGCTCTCACAGTTAGGAAGATTTTTCCTGATATCCAGCCTGAATCTGGCTTCCTGTTTTTTCTCTTGGCAGGTGGCAAAGCGCGCTGCGGCCAGCCAGCCTGACTCCCTCGATGCCACGGAGCGAGCGGAAAAGTTCCGGCAGAAGTACTGGGATAAACTTCAGACACTCCGGCAGCAGCCGTTGTAAGTTGCCATTGGGGGCCCTACAAAGTTCAGCAGAGGCTTCGCTGCCTTTTGCCAAAAAGGGGGTGGGTGGGCGGTGATTTTTAATCCCATATTTGGACATGAACGGTCAGCTCTAGAATATCCATCATGGGTCTTTTTCATCCCGACCCCAAGCAAAGATCTTTGACTGATGTATCAGGGAATTTAAAGAGCAGTCTCTGAGCATCCCCTGAATTAGTTTGGTGGTTATCGTGATGATCCTGTAAGACGGGGAATCTGTGTGAAGCTGCAAAGCCGAGGTTGTGATTTATTTTCCTTCTCAAGTAGCGGCATGCTGGGGTAGCTAGTGTGCAGGCCGCCGTCCCTTTTCCCTCCCTTAGGGTGACCTATCGGTGTATTCTCCGCCTCTGTTTTCAGCGCCTACGGCACTTTAACTGTTAGGAGTTTGCTTGACACCAGAGAGCACTGTTTGAATGAGTTCAACTTTCCAGACCCTTATTCCAAGGTAAGTCTTTTCTCTGGCAGCGTCTGGCCTAAACCTGCCTCGTAGAGAAACTCGACCCAAGAGTCGTGACATTTTAATTTAATATTTGCACAATATAAAACAATTTGAATCATATCTGTTTAAATTAAATTCAGGAGAATTCATTGGGATTTTCTTTTAAAAAATCCACCCTATTCCTATATTATAGTTTCTTCCCCAATGCTATGCATAGCGTAGTGCGAGGAAAGGAAGAGGGTATAGCGATGAGGGGGTGGAACGGATAAAACGGCTCCTTAAAGGTCTCACTTATTAGGGACACTATAAGTTGGTTCCGTCTTGATGGCGCAGAACACCTCAGTAGTAACACACAGCTGTTACTGTGAGAAAAAACATTGGTTTCTGTATAATCGGGTAAGGTATCAAAATGAAAGTATTAAAAGGTTTCAGCAGAGCAGGTGTGCTAGACAATGTTCCAGTTATCTGGGAGAATGCACTTTAAAATGCACTTACCTAGGAACTGAAATTGATGAGATGGGAGGTTTTAAATGTTGATGGCTGGCACTGAGAAAAATAATTCAGCATGAAATGCTCTTGTGCGATTGTCACATAAAGATTGTTTTTAATGGATCGTGTTTAAAGGGTTGGGGGTCATAGACTCCTAGAATGATGGAGTTGGAAGGGGCCTACAAGGCCATTGAGTCCAACTCCCTGCTCGAGGCAGGAATCCACATCAAAGCAGCTCTGTCAGAGGGTTGTCCATTTTATTTCTTGAATGGCTCCAGCGTTGCAGTGCTCACCACCTCCCGAGGTGGTTGGTTCCATTGTCGTATTCCTCTAACAGTTAAGAAGTTTTTTCCTGATATTCAGCCTAAAGCGTCTGTCTACTCAAGAAGTTGGACATGCAGAAAGTCCACCCTGCCTAGACATTGTCGTATTCCTCTAACAGTTAAGAAGTTTTTTCCTGATATTCAGCCTAAAGCGTCTATCTAGTCAAGAAGTTGGACATGCTGTTAGGGCAGAAAGTCCACCCTGCCTAGGGGTGCAGGATAACACCCTTTACATTCAGACCCTCCTGCCTCGTAAAACGACCTTTACTCTGCCCTTTGGAAGCCAGGCGTTCAAACAAGGAGTTTTGATGAGGAGCTCTTAGGAAATGAAAGTGTTGATCAAGGTGTAATATATATTTTTTGCCACTCTTCAAACTTGTGGTCTTGTGTCTCCTCCTTTCCCAGGTAAAGCAAAAAGAAAACGGCATTGCGTTAAAATGTTATCAAGGCGTAATCGAATCTTTAGATTCCTTAGGCTGGGAGGAGAGGCAGTTTGCTCTGGTGAAAGGACTTCTGGCGGGAAACGTATTTGACTGGGGAGCCAAAGCCGTCTCAGAGTAGGTGTTCACCCTCGTTTGCTGGTTGGCTTTCTGTACCCTCACGGTGTCCCCCGTCGTCCTCCTGCTCTGCTTCTCAATGTTTAATTCAAAACAATGTTTGTCCGGTGATTTTTAAAATTGCCTGCGGTGTGCTTTTTGGTCCGAGAGCTGCAACAGAGCCCATGAGAAGGGTCAGTAAGACCAGATTATACTGTAAATCATAAGAATCGCTAGTTCATTTCCTTACAAAGCTTGCTGGGGGAACGGGGGCGAGACCATGAGTGTCTCTCTGCACCCCCCCCCACAATTATACTGTAAATCATAAGAATCGCTAGTTCATTTCCTTACAAAGCTTGCTGGGGGAACGGGGGCGAGACCATGGGTGTCTCTGTGCACCCCCCCACACACACCCCTTTCCCCCTCTCTTCCCTGTAGAATGGGTGTGAAAATTGAAAATAAATAAGTGGGATGAAGGCACCTGTGTTGATCTGACATAGGCGGCCCATTTCCGACGTGAGCACATGAAGGAAACAAAACATGTAGGCAAATGCTGTTAAGGACTCAGGGGTTGGGAGTTCGATTCCCCTCTTGTGCCTCCTTGACGGAGGCTAGACTGGATGATCCATAAGGGTCCCTTCCAGCTCTGCAGCTCTAAGAGGGTGGTGGTATTGATGGATTAGCATGTTAAGAAGTGCCATCCTGACTCTGATCCAAGGTGTATTCTTTTCACACGCTGACTAACCAGGGACCTATAAGAAGCCCACAGGCAGGCTATTCGAACAGCCGTATCCTCTCTCACACATTGCTTTTCCATGAGACGGAGAGCACCGATCTCTCTGTATTCTCCAGATGAGATTCATGGGTTTCCTGACTAGTAGCTTTGCTTTACGTATAGTCAGGGCTGGATGGGAGCCACCCATGAGAAGGTGTCACCTACAAGTGCCGAAATGTTGTTGCTAACTCATCGTTAAGCCAGCTTCTCATCGGATTGCATTTCCAAACTCGGTATCGGCTTGCACCCAAGGGGAAGGGAGGGCGCAGCTCATGTTGCGTTTGTTTCGGAGCATCAAGAAGCAGATGACGAGGGAGACCCTCTGCATTTGACCCTAGAGGAGCTTCTGCCAGGCGAGCGGAGGCAGCCCTACTGAGCTCAATCAAGAGTGGCTGGTTAAAAAGTCTCTCCGGTATGCCTTGCCTGGCAGCAGCTTCTTTGCAGAAGGGGCCTTTCATCCTCCGCAGAATATGAAGTCCGGTGGTTCAGCTTTGTACAGTACCTCTGGCGCTCCCTTTGGAGGCCTCCTGCTGTAAGAGAGAGACAGAGATTAAAAGGCGGGTTTGGATAGGGGACGCATGTTTGTACAGCTGTAGAGCATCTCTGTAGACTTTTCCGCCCCTTAACAGTTTCCTTGTTCTTCCTCCTCTCTTTCTTTCTCTCTTCTCTGATGCCAGCGTTCTTGAAACAGAGCCACTGTTTGGATTTGAAGAAGCTAAGGAGAAACTCCAAGGTATCGGGCTAAAAAAAACCCTTCTTTTTCTCCTGGGGTTACTGGGAGATCTGGGTTAGGTGCATGGTGCGGTGGAAGCCGGGGGGGGGGTGGTCTGTACCTACTGCAGATCAGAGCTTGGCAAGAGTTTTTGATTTTGAACTGTCATCATAGTTCAAAGGGAACTCTTTTGCAATATCTAGGCTGTCTCCAGTGCAGATGATAAGCATCACCAATGTTATCTTCTGCAGACCCCATTGACGTGAAACCAGAGCAATGGGGGATAATTGTGCCCCCTTCTATGTGGGTCATATTTCTCTGCCCTCTTGCCATTTCTGCCCTATGGGGAACCTCGGTTCTAATCAGCAGAATCTGCTAACCTGACGTTCTGCTGTTGCAAATCCCAAATGAATTTGAAGACAAATTCAGGATCATTGAAGGGTTCTCTAGGTGTTCAGAAGAAGGATCAGTACACTTTCTGGGTCCTCATTTTCCATCTCCAGAGAGCAGTTCTGATTTGCATAGATATTTTCATGCAGTGAATGAACCCCAGGTCTGTCCAAAACAGAGCCCCACCGTATCTGGGGCAGCTCGTGATTTTTGGGGGGGAAAAATGAGAAATCAGCCTTTTGGCAGGGCTGTGTCATGTAGGTGGGCCATTTGGTAGGTCCCAAAAGAACTGGCCTGAAGGCAACCCTGGAGGATGGAGACTCGTAAGCGCAGGAACTGGTGCAACGGTTAAGACTTTGGTGTGCTTTGCTACGAGTTCAGACTTTACAGCGTTGGTCACAGGCCGCCTTGTGTTTTTAACAGAACGTCCGTGGCTGGAGGATTCCTACGACAAGTGGCTGGAGAGGCTTAAGGTACTTGAGGTTTGTCACTTTGAAACCCATTAGTCAATATTTGGACCAACAAAAGAGACCCTTGTGTCCATGTTTTTGTTATTTACATTGAAATGGAAGAAGGATATGGTTTCCCTGTGGAAGGGCTCTTTACACATCATAGGTAAATTTAAAAAGAAACCACAAGCACATAAAGACACTGTCGTAGAAGTCTGAAAGAGTAAGAGCTAGAACCTCCTAATAAGCACACAAATCAGAGTTTTAAGTGGTTTCTGTGCCTGAATTAAAAATCCTTTATGTTCTGTTTCTGTTCTCCTGTCCCTCCATGCATGTTAAGCCCATCTTTCCCTCCACTGTAATGCTGGTTCTTCCTGTCCCTTTGCAAACCATGAGGAAGTCCACTCACCTGCCCAGGCCCGTCTCAGGCCTGTTTGAAGAGTGTGAGCATCTGACGTAGAACTACCCAGTGGCCCCATTGAGAAATGAGTCTCCCAGACCATTCTTGTCTGGGGGTGGGGGTGGGGATCCGCCTTGTGGCTTCAGTTCATCTTGCAAACACAAGGCTGTTGTGAATAGATCCAGATCAACCTTTAAAAAAGCGAGCCAGAAATGTACACCCTTGGAGACCTCTTGGTATCTACACCAAGTTTTAGTTGATTAGCGTTCATACTCTGAACTATACGGGAGGCACAGAAAGAAACGCTCAGTCAGACACATTCTGTTTGATTAAGATTGATACAGGCAGGGGTGCCTAATGTGTGTTTCTTTTCTTCTCCCTTTGCAGGCCCCCCCTCATAAATGTGCCTTAATTTTTGCAGATAACAGTGGAATAGACATCATTTTAGGCGTCTTCCCCTTTGTCAGGGAACTGCTGTCTAGGGGGACAGAGGTCAGTTGAATTACCCTGTCGTCTTAAGGTAACAACACGGTACGACGTTGCACTGCAAATTACTACGTGGTTGGCGAAGATTGTGGTTGCGTAAGATAAATGACACCTCTGGCTGCCTGACTTTGCAGCCAGAGGCACAAGGTCTCTGTTGAAATCATTGGGGGCTGAAAACATATAACGAAGACAGTTCCCATCAGCCCTCATAGGCAGCGTAGCCAATAGTGGTGGATGATGGGAGTTATAGTCTGACAGGAGCTGGAGGGCACACTTTGCCCACACCTGATGTAGAAGTTCACTGGTGCCTCGCTAGACAGTTACTTCGGATGACAGTTTTTTTTCACTAGATATTGACTTTTTGTGATCGCTATAGTAATTCGCAAAACAGTGATATCTAGGGGGAAATTTCGCTGGACAATGTTTGGTCCCTGCTTTGCAAACCGATTTTCGCTAGACAATTTTGACAGCTCCCTCCACGCTCGCAAAATGGGTGTTTTCGGGACCTAAGCTTCGCAAGACAGTGATTTAAACAGCTGATCGGCGGTTTGCAAAGCGGCTTTCCTATGGCCGATCTTCACTAGACAATGAGGCTTCTTCCCCATTGCAGCGCATTAAACAGGTTTCAGTGCATTCCAATGGGGAAATGCTTTTCGCTAGACGATGATTTTGCTAAACAGCGATTTCAGTGGAAGGGATTATCATCGTCTAGTGAGGCACCACTGTTCATATTTTGATAGTTAAGAAGGTGATGGGGGGAGGTAGGTCATAATATTACTCTGGTCTAAGCTGGGACGTGATCTTCTATTCCGAATGGGCAAAATACAGGAGACGTTTGGCCAAATGCACACCTGGATTGTGCTGTTCCTTGTTTGTGGGTGTTAAATTTAGAGTGGCCCAACTTCACATGAACAGGTTTTTTCCCCCACTGGGCAAGGGGATACGTCTTGGGGCTTAATCAGCCGGCAGCCACGTTGCCCCGTCAGCAGCTACTGGTAGCAAAGAACAGCCGTCAGTCTCTGGTGATTCGATTATCCATGGTCTGAAAACATTAAAAGGAACATCCTAGAAACATTTATTTCCAAAGACAAAGTTACCAGAACGGACCACTAGAGGAAGCCAGAGATCATGCGATGTATAGGGCTTGCTGTAATCTGTGTTTTTCAGCCTTCGCGGGGAGGGCTTTGAACTAGGCCCCCTATGGATATGGGGCTCCTCCTACATTTCCTCTCTTAGCAGGAGAGATCGTTGACCTTTCTGCTTCCTCTGGGTGGGAGAGGCCGGAACCCTTCTCTTCTTGCTCCCGAGGAGTGTCACAGCTGTTGTGAGGGAAAGGGTGCCAAGGCATGAGCCTTGGAGGATGGAGAGAAAATGCAGGACAGGAGAGGGAGGGAGTCTCTCACTGACATATTACACACTCCGTATCTTAAAAGGGAGATTGGGAGCAATAAAGTGCAACGTATCAGGTTTTAGTAAGCAACTGGATGCTCTAGAAACTTGTATGCTGACGGCGCAGGCATTTATTTTAATTTTTCAGCAAGCCTGGCTTGCAGCAATGCCGTTAACCATCCATTTTGTCTCTTGCACTGTAGGTGGCTTATAAAACCGATATTACATTGTTTCCAAGGGACTGGTCTAGGCAAAACTGATGTCAGCAGAATTATACTGTAGGATTTTTGGGTTTTGTTTTGTTGAGAAAACAGAGGGAGTGGTTGGAAAAAAAACCCAACAGGATGCATTCATATGAGTGCCAGGCTTACTTCTGCTCTCTTGACCCCTCAAAGGGGCTGGCTTTTCTCCTTCTGGTCGCCTTCCTCAAACGGAAAGGGAAGCGGTTGGTAGCAAGAGAGGCCGAGGCAGAAGTGGGACGTGGTCTGTGTTCCAAAATTCATTATTTGAAGTTTTGCAAGACCTTCCGGTTTGGTTGTGGACCTACAGCTCTCGAAACCCCCCTGCTTGTCCAGGATGGCTTTCGATTTAAATGGCCCACATATTCTCCTCTCTCTCCATTTCAGGTTATATTGGCTTGTAATTCCGGGCCTGCGCTGAACGATGTGACCTACAGTGAGTCTCTGCTTGTCACGGAGAAGATAGCAGCGACCGATCCGATCATACGGTGAGGACTGGTTTGGTGCTCCAGCGTCTTCCCATGCGTTACCTAAACAGGGTAATGTGAGACTTTAGATTTAGGGGGGAAATGAAGATCTGATTGCTTCTTTCCTGCCTCGAGGGGATTTTAAGCTGCCCTTGACTCACTGGCACAAGCTCAACATGGCAGTTAAATGAAACAGCTTCAGGGTCAGAGGTTAATCTGCGGCAACAAACCAGGAAAGTGCTCTGAAGACTTTTATTGATCAGCTTTCGATCCATAGTGGAATAGATTCCTGTAAAACACGAGGCCACATTTAACAGCTGGACTTTTGAGACTTGCAGCTCTTTATGTGTTTGTTACACCTGTCAGTTAGCATTTCAGGCTGGTTGACAAAAGTCTTTGACCATAAACGCTGTCTGTAATATTGACTGGCTCAGCATCCAGAAGGCCTGTTCCAAACAAAGATGTGATGGCAATGAATATTCCCGATTATTACGGATTGCTTCATAGAAGGTTCGGACGTTAGGATGATCTTGGAGGATATTATCATAGGCTGCTGTTGCGGAAGAATGAAACCTTCAACCAAACTTTTAGGAAAGTTATCAAGCCGTACATAAATAGTGCATTTCTGCTCCTCAAGCACGCTCTCTGTTCCACATCATTAGAAACAACTAGTTTTCAGTGCCTGGTAAAAATACAGCAGCCTTCGTGACTCCTCAAATGTTTAAAAGTAACTGACTTGCCAAAAGGAACAAGATAGCTGAGCTGCAGAGGTTTTACAGCAACCCTTTTCAGGGTTTTCTAAGTAGAGAGCATTCAGAAATGGTTTTCCCTTCCCTTCCTCAAGGGGGAGCCCTGGGACGGTGCAGCTTGCCCAAGGCTACCCAGGCTGGCTCTTCTCCCAGGAGTTACAGTGGGGGGAATCAAACTCCCAACCTCTGGCTTCCGCAGCGAGGCACCCAACTCACTTAGGGTATGCGGCCAGCTGAATGCCAGGCCACTTGACTAAAACCCGAACCAGCTTTGGATTGATGGTGCCAAGATCTTTAAAACGAAGTGTTGACAATATTTTAAGAAATGCAGATTTTTAACATGAACCCATGGCCTGTTCCCTACGGGTTCATGTTCGTGGTAGCTTTGGGCTGACGGGTCTTTCATTTTAAGGTCTGCCTTGAAGGAAGAGAGGCTGCTGTTGGTACAGACCGGCTCAAGTTCACCATGCCTGGATCTCAGGTAAGAGGTCTCCCCGGGGTATTTTGACAATCCCAGGGACTCGTTCCGTTTTGATCCAGTGGGGGAAAGAAGGCATTCCAGTGGAGGGTGACTGCGTGTGTGGAGAAATTCCTCCGTTCTGCCACAAGATGGCAGTGAGTGTTTCTTTTTGTGTGTGGGGGGGGTGGATCTCTTGAGCATTTTGCCATCAGTCAGTCAGGATTTCTGACCCCTTGTTGTTTAACAGCACCAACAAGAATATGGGAATTTTCACACCCTTAAATGGGAGAAAAGAAAGCTGGTGGAGACCAGCATGGATTTGAAGTGTTTGGAAAGCGTGGCCCTGTGGAAATCAATGTGTGGGACAATGTGTTTAGTTACAAGCCACACGATTCATTGAGTTCCTCAGATCTGCTCTGTTTGGTGCATAAGCTACTGACTTCTTGATTCCTGGTGGTCTTCACTGATCCTTGTGGCACAGGGGTCAAACTGCAGGACTGCAGTCAATACTCTGCTCACAACCTGAGTTCATTTCTGGTGGGTGCTCAGGTAGCCGGCTCAAGGCTGACTGAGCCTTTCATCCTTCTGAGGCCTGTAAATGGAGTATCCAGCTTGCTCGCGGGGCGGTGGGGGGGGCGAGAGACATTGTGTTGCTTGCATAACTAAATTGTAAACCACCCACAGAGTGCTTTAGCTGCCACGAGGTGGTCTGCAAGCAGCACGTTTTGCTTTCCGCTTTGCGCCCCGGGGCTCAAGGGAGGCACCATGCCATTTGCCTTGTCCGCCTTGATCGTTGCTCCCTTTTCTCCGCCAATCCTCCCGATTCTTTCTGCAGCCGCCTGGATAAAGGGTTGGCCAACCTGGTCCGGGAGCGGAAGACGGACCTGGTCGTCATTGAAGGGATGGGGCGGGCCATCCACACCAACTACTATGCAGCCCTCAAGTGTGAGAGCCTCAAGCTTGCGGTCATCAAGAACTCTTGGCTGGCCGACCGCCTTGGCGGGAAGATCTTCAGCGTCATTTTCAAGTACGAGGTGCCCCTCCAATGATCCGGCCCCGGGACTCGAATACGGGCCTTTGTGCCGGAAGAGGAAACTTGCCGAAACGGGACTTGCACTAGTTTAATTTTAATTGTAAAGAATGTATTTTTATTACCACAGGGAAAATGAGGTCACACAAAATGATTGCATATTTATATTGTGCTAACTCATATCGGCTTTTTTTTGTAAAGTGTTTATTTTAATGCTGCAGTATTCGTGATGGGAAAACACTTGATTATCTATCCCACCTTGAACCCCCTAGTTCTGTGAGACTTTTGTTTCAAAATATTTAATGTCAATGGAACCTCTTTTTATATTTTGGCCTAAATATATTCCAGCCATTACTGGCCAGATACCAAATAGAGTTTTTAAAGAGCTGACAGAAGTCTGATCTTTCTTGTTTTTGAATCGGTAACAGAAGATACTGGACTTCAGTTCTGACTCGGTAAACTTCCTCCATCCACTGGGTCATGATCCGGAGCTTGGAAATAATCTTAGCACAAAGAGCTTGTCATTAAATTGATTGGGGAAAACTGATTCGCTAACACGGAATGAATGTTGAACGGAATGTGTTGAATCACTTTGTTAATTCATTTGCTAAGTTGTTAGCTGTAAAAAAAAATCATAATTTCTAGAAATGGACAATAAAAATGAAGGTGATGAGAGCTGTTAACATGTCTGGTATGTCACGATCCAAATAATGGGTTTTAAAACAGTGAAATGTTTAATGCATTAATTTTTAACGCTTACTATTTCCAAGCTCTGGTATGATCACATTACTATCCCATAAAAGCCACAACATCCCTTTTTACACGCTGAATTTGAATTTGGGACAGCTACCCGTGGACAGCTTAAGTTCTGTAATATTTTTATGCTCAAGGGGTGGATGATGCCCATCAGGGCTTGGGTGGGGCAGGATTAAGAGAGGCAGCCCCAACCGCAGCTGCTTGGCTACCCAAACACAGCAAAAGAGCCCATTGAATTCTGAGTGGGTTGAAAAGCGGCCTGGCCTTTAGGAACTCCCTCCAGCCAGTCCTCTACCTAAGCTCAATGTTCCTCCAACGATCCAGAGGTTCTAGCCCTCGAAAAAAAAAGTGGTTAAGAAGAAAAGAGAAGCATGTATACCCACACCGTGAAATTGGGCGCCCAGCAAGACCACGATTCTACACCGTCTTGCCTGAGCGTCCGCTCCACCAAACAGAGCCAGACCTAGATCGGAGCGAGACGTTTTATCACACCGTAAGGTAAGTGATGAATTTAACAGAAGAAACTGAACAGGAGTTACCCCTGTTGGCTAAAAAAAAAGCTGTAGGTCATCATCTCATTCTCTAAATAAACAGACCTTCAACTTCTATCCCCGCAGGTTCAATTTCATTGGGTTACAAGGTTCGTGCAGGCAAATCAATCAGTGGTTCCTTGCGAGGGTCCGCAGTCACCTCCATGCAGGTTTAGAATCTCCAAAAAATGAAATTAAAAGTGCCTTCAGAAGTACTGGTGGAACGCCCAAATCCAGCATCTCTGCGTGTTTCAACCAAGCCCAATAAACCAGCCGCCTTTATGGTCCCTTCAGCAAGCAGCGAGTGCTGACCGAAGAGTAAGTATACAAGGAGTCAGTTGCCACAACTTTTATTTATACATCAAACCCACACTGTTCTGCTTGATCTGCTTTTTCTAAAAAAAAGAAAGCCAAATTTTCTGGTTTGCAGTGAAAGCGTCTTAGAGGTTTCTACAGGCGGAGAGAGCTGTGTGGGACTTTCCAGGAACGCTCGGTTGCATCCCGTCTTATAATCTGGCCTTTTGTTTTTAAAATTCTCACAAACCCAGACATGAGATAAGATGCACAGGGACCACCTTGCTCTTCACTGCTGCCTCCTGTCTTTTCCCTTCTGACCATTAAATCCTCGTTTTGTTGTGGTTGTTGTTTGGAGATAAGCTCAGCTTATGTGTACCTTTGTTTTAGGGGAAATAGATTGCACCCGATACTTTTTTGGTAACACTGGTCCATCGATGTTGAGCCTTGGAAGAAAGAGGGATGCCTACCCTGCTGTGATGGGTGCCATAGTTGTCCTTAACCACTTCAGACTCGTTTCCTAGGTTCGTGAGCAAGACGGAGACCCCAAAATATCCCCTCCTGACTAAATGGGCTTATGGCATTCCCGCTCATGGCAGAGAAGACCCCCCTGCTCATCTTTGACTGCTCCATTGTGAGACTTTCCTTAAGTGTGGTCCAAATGCTTTCCTCTTCTCATGGACTTAGAAATTTGATCTTAAGGGCACAAGACAAAAGTTTGGTTCACACATCTACTGTGAATGAACCTCTCCTGTGGCCAGTCCCGTTACAGCATGGACGAAGCGTAAGGCTTGGCCCACTATTCCCGCAACCTCCATCTTGCCCTCCTGCCCAAAAAAGAAAGAAAAAAAGAAAGAAAAGGAGACCTGGAGCCATAGGAGCCTGGCCTTCACTAGATCAGCAGGGCGGCCGCTGATGCTGTGGCATCCTTATTCATGGTTTGGATCTGTTTCCCTAAACTTCCAAATGAATGCTGTCAATACTGGTCAGCTGGCAGATATCAATCATATTTACCTTTGAGCACTAGAAAGGTTAAGACTCTTGAACCCAGATCCTGTTAATCCCCCAAATGGCTTATTCAGCTGCAAAGGGTTTGCGATTCAAGGGGTTTTTGTTACTGCAAGCATCCTTATTCATGGTTTGGATCTGTTTCCCTAAACTTCCAAATGAATGCTGTCAATACTGGTCAGCTGGCAGATATCAATCATATTTACCTTTGAGCACTAGAAAGGTTAAGACTCTTGAACCCAGATCCTGTTAATCCCCCAAATGGCTCATTCAGCTGCAAGGGGTTTGCGATTCAAGGGGTTTTTGTTATTGCAATGAAGCTATGCTAAAAAAAAAACAACCCCAAAAATTCCCAAATTTCTTCTACTGTTACGAGAGACGAGAGCTCGCTGCTACGGAATGCAGAGTCGGGTAGAAATTTTTGAAAGTTCATTCAGGTTTGGCCTCCAGCTTTGCCGACACCCTTTCACGGCTTTGTCTTCCCTGCGGTCTCTTGCTTCTTGTCTTCTCTCACGCGCAGTCGTTGGCTCATCTCCTCGGTGAACACTGAGCAGCAGGATTTCTAAGACGAGGGGGGAAAAATGGGGTGGCAAAGCAACATTTAAAAAAAAGTTGACAAAAAAGTTTAAACTTCTGCACCAAGGAGCATGTGCGGAGTGCAGTTCTCCTTATTTTATGTGAGGTGTGTGTAATGCCATTTTTTGCTATTATCTGGCAGCCTTATGTCTGCAGGGGGGGGAACCTAGTGGGTAGATAAGAACTGCTGGATAGCTCAGGGGTTTAAGTCTCTGCCTGCGGAGCCAGAGGTTGGGAGTTTGAATCCCCACTGTGCCTCCTTGACAGGAGAGGACTGGATGATCTATAGTGTCCCCTCTAGCTCTGCCATTCCAAGGTACTATTATTGCTATATGACAGGGATCGCTGAAGAGCCAATAGAATCAAAAGCCATGTTTAACCATGGGCGAATGACTAAGCCAAACAAGAATAGATTGACCGAAGTGAATGGAACTTGTTACATTACATGGAAGACTGAGACCTGTTGGTTTAAGAAGGCCGGCTTCACCCATCCAGATCCCTGCACTCACATCAAAATCCACTCCTCGCACAATGGTGGCAGCAGACTCGTTTACGAAAAAAATGTGGATTTGCATCTGAACTGGCTCATTTACGTTTGGTATACGCGTTTTTTGTAAGCCACTGTGGCTCTTGAATGGAACTTGTTACATTACATGGAAGACAGAGACCTGTTGGTTTAAGAAGGCCAGTTTCACCCATCCAGATCCCTGCACTCAAATCGAAATCCACTCCTCACACAATGGTGGCAGCAGACTCGTTTGCAAAAAATGTGAATTTGCATCTGAAATGGCTCATTTACGTTTGGTATACACGTTTTTTGTAAGCCACTGTGGCTCTCTGCTATGTGACTTAAGAGACGGCGAGGTACGTGCCAACTTTTGTATGTGAGATCCCACACTGGTGTTGCAACTTCTCTGTGTATATCCGGACATCCAGAACAGTTCCGTCTGTGTGAGCATGGGAACCTTAAGGCCTTTTCTAATTAAAAAAAAAGGACTGTTGGTTGGTTTTATATCCTGACTGAGTCAATTAAACAGCAGTCATCCTTTTTAGAGGGGTGACAGGTAGGATGTTGACGGAAGAAAAGGCCAAGAAATTGGCTTTCATCTTATACAGGAACGGAGCGACCAAGTTTTCTACAGGAAATGTTGGATTTGGTCTTGTAATTAAAGAAAGAAGTAGTAGCATTCTCTAATTGAGCACCACCTTTGTGGCAAACAAAGATGCCGCGGTAGGTCAGTTTACACGACCCTTTACTAGCTGTGGAATGTTGTGTTTTTTTCTGGATGCATGGCCAGCTTCCAAAACCGGCTGAAAGCATGGAGGAAGAAGGAGCCCAACCAATGCCCATCTTCGTACATGGTGTCCTTCGCACTGAAACACTGTGATGTTTCGCTGGACCAGAATGGAGAGAGACCCGCCAGTGCCCAACAGGAGATGCTTTGCGTACAAAGCTCCTGGTTTTCCATGTGGACATCTCTGTGTCTGAACGAGACTGGAAACTCAGATACAGGAGAGATGCCTGCCTGGGATGGTACAAGAGCACCTTACGGATTCATGGCCAGCTGACTGTTTAGGATTATGCAGGACTTCTCAGTACAAAGAAATACATTTTTGTGTCCTTTGGAAGAATGCACATTTTCCCCTAGGAAACATGGGATTTATTCATCTTCATATATTTAGGTCAAGGATGAGGGACCTCTTTCAGCTTGAGAGACAGATTATGCTGCTGAGATGTTCCTAGCTTAGACGTGATCCAAAAATGTCTTTGTATTTTAGCTTACTGTCAGCAATTGAGAAAGGAGCATTTCAATCATTTAGAATCAGGGTAGAGGGAACAACAGAAATCACGAAATTATATTGTTGTGGGGAAGAGGGTGTTGGCAATCAAGGAGGACCAGATCCGGCCTCAAGAAAGCTGAATTTAGTGCCAGGATATAAGGGATTCAGCACATTCTGTCTAGCCCTAACAGCAGCTAATAATGAACAAGAGAGGAGGGTTAGTTTTGTACTAAGAATATAGTAGAACTAGAAAAATGTATTTTTTTTAAAAAAGTAGCCAAAGTTACCTTAAGACCTGTGTCAACTCTTCACATCAGGAGAAAAACATACATTTTCCATTTAGGGGAATAGATGAATAGGTTGGGTGAGGCAACATGTTAAGCATGTCCTAAGGTATATATAAACTTGAACACAGGGTAGTGGAAATATCTAAGGAAACGTTTCTGTTCTTCACAATCATCTTCTGTCCTTCATGTCTACCTCCAAGCATGTCTTCCTCACACATACATCTCCAAATACCTTAATACTATTTGGCATACGAAGCGCTAACAGACACCAAGAAGTAACCAACAGAGGAGCTATTCAAATGATCAAATCAGTAATTTGTTCAAAATGTGGTGTTGGAAATCAGCTTTACAGAAACAGTGGGCCATCAGAAAGCTAAATAAGTGGGTTCAAAATCGAATCTGAACTCTCTAGAAGCAAAGATGGCTAAACTAAAGCTGCCTTACTTTGGACACGAGAGTCTGTGAAAAACACAATAATGCGAGGAAAAGTTGAAGACAGCAGGAGAAAAAGAAAACCCGATATGAGATGGATTGAGTGCTTCAGAACAATTGACTCAAATCTAGTTGTGAGTCAGTTGTGTATTAGGTCCAGTTCTGCACTCCCCCAATGAATTTCCATGGCCAAGTGGGGACTCAAACCCCCTCTCTTGAGTCCTAGTCCATCACTCTATCCACTACAAGGCCCTGGGTGCCATACAAAGCTTATAGCCTTGAAATGCTTCTCCACCTAGCCAATTCTAACAGTAATACACAGTGCCTGGAAAACGCCCAAGAAATCCAACATCCGTCTCACCTTCTCCTGTTCAGCTCTGTGCCGGCTTCTTTTGGACAATTCAATCACAGCGACCACCATTCCCAGCGCGAGGCCCAACGCAAGAATGAGGAAGATTCCCCCCAGAGCGTGAGGTTTTAAGGGGCTCCACTTGTCATGGTCATCGTGGGAGCAACTGCTCTCCCACCACTTGCTCCGAAGGTAATCCAATTCACCGGATTCTCCAAGTTTCAGGATCGCCACCGAGAGTTTGTTAGTCCAGGGGGATCCTAAGAACAAACATGGAGAGAGGTAAATCTTTTAGTCCAGCCTTCTGAACAAGACTTGATATATTAATTTCAGTATGGTCTTTGGTGTACAGATGGTTCTGCTTTCAGAGGGTATGGGCGGTTCGGGATTTTTAGGGGAAAGGCATAAAATTTGAAATTCGGTCTGAAATTCGTCAAACTCACGAATTAGACAAGCATCAGAATCATCTCAAAACCACCATGGACACATGGGGACTCTCACCTTTGGGGGTCGCGATGCCAAATCCCCTAGCTCCTAGGACTTCTGGGGAGCGGACCAAATTGCAGTGCCTGGCTACAGCAAGGTCTTGAGAGATGGACTCTCCGATGAAAGCATAATCGGAATCCAAGACACGCTGAATGGCCTCCTGGTAGCTCTTTGCGAAAACCGTCTCTTTCTTCTTGTTCATGGACTCATAGACCATCTGCTGGATGGGGTTCTTGGAGTTCTACAGGCGCAAGAGCATGGCGTTAAAACCCTCATTAGGATATTAAATTGTATACCCTGCAAAGAAACTGGCCATCCTTTGGGCACATGAATGAGCTATTTAACAGAACTAAAGATGATGCTTGTTTGATTCCTTCTTATGAAATTGTCACAAATCTGAATGATTCACTATATTGGCCGAGTACAGAGTAAACACAAAAGGACTGAGCTTGTTCATTAATCATAAAGATATGAGCAACCCATTCGGTGCTTTGTAATGAAGCAACAGCTATTGTAAGTTGTGCAAAAAATCCACATCTCCAAATACCATTGGAAGCTTATGCTACACAAGCTTCAGAACTAGAGTGATTTTTCTCAAACTTTGGAACAGTTTGTGTTTTTTTTTTCCTTCTAAGCTGCCAGAATTGCTTACAGGGGAATTCTAGGAGTTATCGCCTAATTTTTCCTCCCAGCTTTTGGGTTTTCTTGATTATTGGTTTTGTTTATATACAAGCCATGTAGAAATGCTATAAATAAATTAAATGCACGCATACATCAGAAGCATGTTGCTTTGCAGAGTAAAATTAGCAACAACAAAATGACACAGTGTAGCTACAGGGGATGCTGAAGTTCTCTCTGATATGCTTTTAAATGGATTTGAAATTGTTTAAACTCAGTGGCTCATCTAGTACAACAATTTGTTTGATTTTTATTTTTTAATGGAACTCGTGTTCTTAGAAGCATCTGCTTTTTAATTCATGTGAACTTCCTTGATTGCCAGCCCTGGGAGAGAAGTGAGATATAAAATAAATAAATATAAAATAATAAATATAAATAACTTTTCAAAAGTGCCACAAGCTATTGTCAAGAAATGTCATCGTGAGCAGTTTGAGCGTATGTGTGAAACCAGACTTCCAGTTTCTGGATCTGTTCGTGTTTGAACGGCTCCGGCCGACGCACCTTGAAATATAGGAGTGTGGAGGAACCTTCCATGGTCCCGAACTCCAGCTCCCTCTGCTTCACCAGATCTTCAAAAGTCTGAATGGACAGCTGTTCGGATCCTGATTCCAAAATAAAGCTGAAGCCAGCGATGTAGGCAGTCAGGAGGACGATGCTGAACAGCCACCAGATGGCAGAAACGATCCGGACGGAGAGTGACTTCGGTTGAGGCACCACACCTTGGGGGAAGAAGCAAAGTAGAAAGTAGAGTTTGCTGCCACATCAGGAGAACGGGAAAAGGGTGCTGAAATGCAGGGGATGGGGCCCCTTGGGACGGCTTCCCAGTTAAATGTACTCTCTACTCATGGAAACCATTAAGGGACACCACCTGAGTCTTAAGAGCTCAACATCTCCCAGCTTCTTTACCCCAACTTGCACAACACCCGCTTTTTGCAAATGATGGCTGGCATTTTCTAAAAGTCCTGAGAACCTGGTAGAGATGTGAACCCCATTGTCCTCTTGGATTTATTGTGTGTACGGTCATAATTATGTGAGCGCTTTTCTCAATTTCCCAGGGCATCCGTCATGCACTGGTTGTGCAGATGGGCTGACACCCTGGAAAGGGGTACTGACTAGATACTCGCCCAAGGGGAGTTTCTTGCCCATAATGGCTTCCTCAGGCAGAATCCTATCCTTTGCTAAGTTAAGGCTGCTGAGCCTTGTCCTGGAAGAACTTCATAAATGGCTTTGCTTTCAGTTATTTTTTCCTGCCTCCCTTTGGCCAAAATCCTGCTGCGTAGTTACGCCTGCATAAAACAAAGCTATCGAAGCGCAGTAACAAAATTCATACTGAGGCAGAAGCCATATTCAGCAAGGCGTTCCACAGGCCCAGTTGTGCAACCAGCTACACAGTCCATTGCCCAATGAGATACGTAATGTGGACTGCCTGTATGTAACTCTCTGCAGGTGTCACTTCATGCTATGCCAAGAGCAATAGGATTACAGCCACTGGATGAAGAAAACGCATGCAGGAGGTGGAATGCATCACATGCTCAGCAGAATAGCGTTGTTTTTGCTTCAGAGCTAAGGGATTTTTTTTATGTGGAGTCAAAAAGAGAGCTTGTAAAGCATGGGGACTGGACTGCATCGTCTAGTTTGGCGGAGGTTGCAGTCACCAAACACTATCACTTCCGTGCTTTGTTCTTATCATCAAGGGGACCCTCCTAGTGGTTGCCTTAAGACAAACGGCCTGTAACTTAAGCTCACTATGCCTAAAGACCCTTTCTTGGAAGAGGAAGAGAAGGTGGTGGTGAAGGAGGATAAAGCAGCACTCGCCAAGGGCGTCTCCATTTGGGGAAAACGTCAAAATCATCTCTATTAGATGAACAAAAGGACCAGGGAAATGGGCCCTTTCTTGACTCTCTTTGCGACTCTCTTCAGTGGCACCCTTGGGCTCCTGTGTTCTAAAATGGGAAAAGCTGTGCCCCAACATTGGGGGCTTACCTTGCAGGGTGAAAGCCCCCGCCCCAAACCACAGGCAGTTCAGGAAGGAGAAGCGACCGTCCTCATTTCCATCCCATTCACAGGGGCTCATTCTAGGAAAATAATAAGAGTAATAAAAACGTTACTGGCCGGATAAACAAGGATGTGAAAATCCCTCAGCTTTGGTTTTCTCTCACTTCATGTACATTTTCTACACTTCCTCCTGTCATAGTGAATTGCAAGACTGCATGGGTCGTGGGTGGGTGTGGGCATGTTTGTGTGTGTGCATCTTTAATGTATCTTTCCCTAACGTTTGCAGTTATTTATACCTTTCCCTTAATTTAAACACCCGCTGAAGCATGTTTCTGTGTATTTTCCCCCCTGTTGCACATTTTACTTATATTTGCATTTTCAAAATGTGTTTATCCTTTCAGCAATAGAACCTAGGCAGGTACTCGCACATGTGAAGCGAGGTGGGTTTCTTCCCGCAAGGAAACCTCACGAGGTGTGGGAAATGCCAGTCTCGTTGGGGCTCTCAAATCCAACCTCCTTCTTTCCCTCCTCCTAAGAACTGGAGGGTGGGAGAAAATAAATACTTCACCTAGCTGCAAGGAACAAGCAAAGGCTGGAGATGAGGTAGGCGGCCAGGATGCCACCCCACGTCTCCTTGCTGAAGGGAGACAGGAAGTGGAATAGAGACGCCTCCTCCAGGGCAGACTCCTTCTCAAGCAAGATGCCAATGCCGGTGTGAAGGAAGGGCTGGGTGAAGTCGACGGCATCTTCTCTCACCGAAGTGATGGTCAACGGGGCAACGGCAAGGTCGGCTTCCTGTCGGAGGATAAGAGAAGGTGGTCTCTCGCAACCGGAGGTGCAGATGGTTTGAGAACCACAGAGCCAGCAGGGCCCCTTATGGATTAGGGAGTCCAACCCTTGCTCAGGAGGCCCCAGTGGGGGAATCAAACTCCCAACCCTCTGGCTGCACAGCCGGAGACCTCAACCACCAAGCTGTCCGCCAGTTTCGAACCACAGAGCCAGCAGGGCCCCTTATGGGTCAGGGGGGTCCAACCCTTGTTCAGGAGGCCCCAACATAATACAAGAAAGATTAAAAATGCACAGGGGGAATCAAACTCCCAACCCTCTGGCTGCACAGCCGGAGACCTCAACCACCAAGCTGTCCGCCAGTTTCTAGCATAATGTCATCCATGCTCAGGTACACATAAGCACATGCATCACACCTCCAACCTAATATAAGAAAGATTAAAAATGCATGCTGTTTGTGCCTAAAAATGCCTCTTCTATCCCCATTTGGGCACTAGTTGTAGGTTTTTATTGCAGCTCGTTTCCCTTTTTCTGAAGGCAGAGGGAGTTAATTTGAATTTGCAAAAACAAAATGACAGATCTTTAGCTTGCGAGCAGGGAGCGAGTTAAAGAAGAATATGTAATTTTCTGTTGTATTTAAACTTCTCTGTAAGCAGTTTTGGATCCCAGTTCTTGGAGAAAGGTGGCATATAAATCAAATAAATAAGCAATACATGAGTTTTCAGCTAAGAGAGAAAGCTAGTAGATGGTGCATCCATGCCCCATGCAGTGTGATCAGGAAACATCTCAATGTCTGAAGACTTACCACTGGGTTTAAAATGAGCTACCCCATTCTAACTTTAACTGCCATGGCTCGTCTATCAAAACTTTATCCCAGAACATTTCATAGGTACCCCATGGATGGGCTGGGCAGGAAGAGTAGAACACGCTATACTCATTAAACAGGACTGCAAGTGTAGGCCAACAGTGTGCACGGACCACCTACCTTTCTCACGACTTCTCCAATCATGCCGGACCAGCTCCCGTTGGGGGACAGCGCTCCGTACTTCCCGTCCTTCACCACGCCCACCTTGTACTTGAAGTGCAACGTCTCAGAAAGCTTCTCCAGAAGGTCAATGCAGTAGCCTTCCAGCTCGGTCCCTCTGGCCATCACGTAGGGGTCTTCCTATAGGCAAGGGAAGGGAAACTCTAGCTAAAAGGTCTGTCTTGTAAGGACATCCTTCCATGAGTAGAAAGATCAGACATCAAGTTCTCTTCTTGAGTTGTCAGACACAAAAGACTTTGAGTCACCTATGATGAGTTAGTTATTCATGCCGTTCATGAAACACTGATAGGATTTATTTGTTTTTCATTTCAATTTCCTGGGATAAATTGTTTTTCTCTTAAACTCTCTCCTCCCGTGACTGACAAAAGATCTGCCAGAGTGGTTTTGATAAGAGATATTTCCCATCACAGGGTCCTTGAATTTTGGGGCTTGAAAAGCATCACACCAAATCTGAGTGATCATTCTCCCCACACAGTCCCCTCCCCACATAACCCTCCAACAACCGGTGGTCTAAGATCCTTAGTCAACCACTTCTTTGGGAAGTAAGCCGCCTTACCAAGATGGTCGTGACGTACACCGTCGGCCAGTCCTTCCCGCCACCTCTGACAGAGTCGCTGTCCTGTGGGATAAAAATATCCAAGAGAGTCCGCAGGAGTTTTAGGACAGCAAAACAATATCCGAGCTTCTTAATGGGCTTTGGATCATCAACCAACAAGAAGGTGCCTTAGCCATAACCCCAAATGGAATGTCAGAGGTCTCCACCATGGGACCCTTATAGTAACTCTTCTGATACTTCCACCAATGAAACATTTCAGTCTGGTTGATGGATGTTGGTCGGTCGGTCATCATGTCCCACTAGAGAGAACATGCAATCATTTCTCCCGCCATGTTGCTTTTCTTAAGAAACCGTGTGGCACAGGGATGTGTGTATGAATTGTCTCCTGCATGAATTATAGCAACTTTGGAGAGACATTGTAGGTTGGCCCTGCATTCCCCACAATCCTCTAGCCAGCATGGGGATACTGGAGTTTGCACCCCAAAGCCAGCAATTTTCCTAATCTGTATTTTGGCATTTGTATTTCTGACGGGCAGTGAGCTATCTTTCCAATACACGTCTTGGAAGTCGGCTTTGTGAAACAAAACAGCAGAAGTGGTTCACACCAAGTCTCCTCTTCCGTACCAGGTCCAGAGCCTCAGGCTTTCTCCCCGGAACTTTGCCATCCCTTCCTCCCCCCCCCCATTCCTCAGTGTTCCCATAATTAAATCTGAATGTTTCCATTTAACTTCTTTTTTTACCCACACAACCTACCCCCAGCAGAAAACGCTTTTAGAAAAATCACATTCCCCATTCTTTAGTATACAAATTCTTAAAGGATCAATTTGCATCTGGAGGGGAGAGCAGCTGGAAGCCAATTAAGGCCTCATTATGAGAAAGAGCTTTCAGGGTGCTTACAGAGAGGAAGTGGGGGGGGAGCTTTCCTAGATCCCTCTTGAAAGGGCACAGTGAAGCAGAAATAGCATATCTTGAAGCTTTGGAAATGTAAAAGCTCATTTCCCTTCAAACCATCGCTCAGCGACCTGTAACAGGAACACTGCCATACGGACACCCTAATATATGCAGTTGTGTGTGCATAAAGGGTGTTCATTTGGCCTGGCACATCCTCAAAAGGCAAGGCCAAAAGACAAGAGGACATCGCTAGCAAGCAAGAATCTCCTGTAATCACCATCATCATCATCATCTCTCTCTTGCACCCACTTCCTGAAGTGTGCAAGATAAGCTGTGAAGACAGATACGAGCAACCCACTGTTCACAGGTACCAAGATCAAGTACAACCCTCTTTAAAGGAGGCTGATTTTTTTCCTTTCATGCACTCTTTGCTTTAAGAAACCCCTGCAAGCTCAACAAGATTATGAAATCAACATCTCCCCCTCTTAACACCTCTGGCCACTCTCTCTTGTTCTGTCCCTGTTTTTCTCTCTAGATACATGCACGCTAAACATCATCGCTACCGAGCATCTTGCTTGGCCAGGAAGCCCAGCAAAAAATGGGCTGCAGAATGTTCCTAGTTTGGATCCCAAAAAGAGGATGTCTACCTTGCTGATGGAATCCTCATCCTCGGTAGCACCTGAAATGGACGAAGAACAAAATATGGTTATTACTTTATAGCCGTTTACCCTTTTTGCTATAGCCCATTAACAAGATGTGCCTGGTTACAGAAAGTTGGCTGACAGTGGGGAAGGGGATTATTTGTCTGTCTAACCCCGGAATTGGTCACTGCGAGTGGCAGGATCGTACCAGTTTCCTTTCCCTCGTCTCCACCTAAGATCCGGCATCCTACTCATGCACACTCCTCCACAAAATCCAGCTCCACCATCTCATGCCATGGAGGTGGCCCTGGGCGGTGGCTAGTGGGTGCCACATCTTCAGTTTCTCTCCACCTGGTAGAACCTCCAAATTCAATGTAGGGTCAGATGTATACACCCAAGACACCTGCCACACAAGTGTACTGTACATAAATATGGAGGGGGTCATATAATCCGAAGGTCATCTACCAGACAGTGAATTGGCGACAGCAATCAAGAACACAATGATGGTGTGAAATAGTTAAGGTCTACTTTAGCACAAGGACCTTCTGTATCAACAAAATGATGGTAAATCAAGGTATTTACGAAGCTGCAGTTATACAAACAGAGGCAACACCAGGGCAAAGATTTGTTTTTGTCGACACAAAGTCTTTTCTGTTCTGATTGCTAATCTTGCCAAATAATTTGTAAAGCAGCATGACTTATAACGAAGCTGCAGTTATACAAACAGAGGCAATACCAGGGCAAATATTTGTTTTTAATGACACAAAGCCCTTTCTGTTCTGATTGCTAATCTTGCCAAACAATTTGTAAAGCAGTATGACTTATATTTTTAAAAAAAACCAAGCTGCATCCATCATCACAATGCTCTATATGACCTCTGTTATTGTTGTCCATGTAAATGGCTGGCTACCAGGACAGGCTTCAAAGTGGATTAGATCACTTCTAAATTTACTTCCCAGAATTACTCAAATGCATAAGACTTTCCGTGGCTACTTTTCTGATGATTACATGCCTCTGAATATATTTCATTTTCCAGTGTACTTTTCTGATGATTACATGCCTCTGAACATATTTCATTTTCCAGTGAACAACAACAACAGAACTGCAGAGCTGGAAGGGACCCTATAGATCATCAAGTCCAGCCCCTGTCAGGGAGCCACAGTGGGGAATTGAACTCCCAACCTCTGGCTCCATGTCCAGATGCCTAAATCCTGAGCATCCAGCAGTTCTCAAATTTACACACTCCATTTTCAATAAATGGATTTGATGAGCATTTTTCTTGATCTCCTCTAACAGGGTGAGTAAGAAAAGACATCAGCTAAATCTGCTCATAAAAACAATGACATTAGAGGACGCTCCCCAAGCTGACACTGTAACGTCTACCTGCTATTTCGGATTTATTTGTATTTTTATTAAATGGAAATGCCAGGGGATCACAGCTAGAACTTTTTTTTTTAAATTTGCAAGGCATGTGCCAAGTCTGGTTTGGTTTGAGAAAACAGAAGAGCGGTATAGAAAAATGTTGCGTAAAATCTGTGAAAATCTACACAACATAAAGAACACACCCGCACATGTGCACACAAGTACTGTAACCTAGTGTGTTTCTTTCCCTTCCTTTTTATATCTTTTTCCATTCATTAGCTCACTTTCTTCAACACAAAAATCTCCTAAATGTCCTGGGTTACAACTCCCAGAATCTCCAACCCACCCAGGATTCTGGGAGTTGTTCAACACATCTAGAATTCGCACCTTTTCAATTCTTTTTCTATTGTGCATGGAGATATGAGTGGGTAGACACTAGGTGATCGAACACATTGCATGAGCATTTAGTAAACATACCCATGCCTGAATATTTACAATAGCCTTTTAAAAATTGTACTCTTTATTAAGTCACCTTGGATCTCAAACTTGGACACCCCAGTTTGGGAAATACTGTAGATAAATAAACCCAATACTTATAACAGCTTCACAAGACATTCCCCCAGGAATAGTTAAAGTGCTTAATATGACTTACAAAGTCCCAGGGCTTAAATCCCATTGTTAATTCCAACGAGAATAGTGGGTTTTACATAAGCACTGGCCTATCGCTGCAACTGATTCAATGTCTCAACTTGATCTGGGACCAGCCATTGGATTTTGGCTTGGGATCAGCCTGTCTGAAAGGCCACCTTCTCCCATAGAAATCTGCCCAGGTTTTTAGTGCAAGCCCCAATTATTGATGCCACCACCATCTAAGGTGTGGTCAACAGAGGAAAGAGTCTGCTTGTTTCCCATCTCCACACTCTGGACCTTTCTCCCAAAGGAAGCTAGAGTCTATGATGACAATGTACTCTTGAGTCAATTCCCACTTACAGCAGCCCTCTATCAGGTTTTCTAGGTCTAAAGTGCTTAGAAATCATTTCCCATTCCCTGTCTTCCAGGGAACTACGCAGTTGGCCCAAGGCCACCCAGGCTGGTTCTACCAGCAGGAGGCCCCATGGGGGAATCGAACTCCCAACCTCTGGCTTTGCAGCCAGAGACCTCAACCACTGAGCTATCCAGCCAGCTATAACAACAATAACTATATGCCGTCAAGTCAATTCCGACTTATGGTGACCCTTTTCAGGGTTTTCCAGGTAGAGAGTACTCAGGAGTCCCATACCCTTCTTTTGGGGGTGACCTGGGACTGTGCAGCTTGCCCAAGGCCACCCAGGCTGGCTCTTCTCCCAGGAGGCCCCATGTTAGAATCAAACTCCCAACCTGTGGCTCTGATGCCAGGTACCCAACTCACTTAGGCTATGCAGCCCTTGCTTTTAGTATATACAGTATGCTTGGTTCTGTTGTTGAATGGAGTTTAACTAGTGAGTGATGGCTGGGTTTCACTGTTGAGTTTTTAACCGAGTTTTTTTATTTTGTCTGTTTTTTAAAAATTTGGCATTGTACTTTAATTTTTTTAATGATATATTTTGGCATTGTTTTTCAGTGTTGTTAAGTAGCGGGAACTTCATTTTGGGTGAACAAAACAAAAAAAGGGCAAGTCCAATTCATTAGTACTGCATAAACCGGTAGCGGCTTAAGGGGTGCACAAACATTGCAAAAAAAATAATTTCTTGCAAGAGCCACCTTCCAGTTCTCCCCCAGCCAAAAGGACCAACAACCACGCTAACTGGGAGTTGATGCGGGGAGCTCAGTGGCCAAGGGAACTGGGGGTGGGTGGGTTGTGCTCTCCAAAAATGCTCCCAGCTTCTCCGAGATCTGAACAAGGTTGTATATTTCAGCCACGATTTCTACTGTGAACTGCTTTTCGTCGCTGTTGTTGGCCTTCGCTATTGTAAAAGGAGAACCAAAATAACCAGCTTGTTGGACGAAAACCCAGCAAGGAGAACATTCCAGTCTTCTGGGCCAGGGAGTCTTTTTTTCCCCCATCACCACCACCTCCTTTTAAGCTTCCCCCGCCTTCCACCAAGTTCATCAATTCTGCCTCTTCTGTCTTGGGCTAAACTTTAAATTATTGCTCAACAAAAGAGGCTTTTCACCGTGCCACGGCAGCCCTTCATGGGAGCTGAAGAACGGCTGAAAAGAGCTCTCTTGTTCCCCTTTCACGTCCCTGCTTGAAGCCAGCGGGAGTCCCTTCAACCATCTTTGTGAAGACCTGCCCAGGAGTCTTGGAAGGAAACAAGTGGCTTCATTGAAGCCTCCAGCGCCTCCCACTGCGGGCACAGGATAGGGGCCGCTCAAAGCCCCATTGTCCGAGGCCCGAAAAACTCACACCAACAAAGGAACCAACCTTCTCCCCCACCCCCACCCCTTTGAAAGGGGCCGTAAATAATCGGATGGCAGCAGTGGCCCAAAGTTCGTGACAACGACATTTGTACGGCTCCTAAATCCAATGTGGAGCTTTTTGTTGGACTCCCCGAACAAGGACCGTGGAAAAAGGGGGCGCAAGGTGGAATAACAAGCGTGGGTCGTACAGCGTGTGAGCTGAAATCCAAAAGCAGTTCTCCAGATCCCTGACTGGAGAGACAACTCTTAAGGGCTGGAAGACAATCACGAGCATGTGCAGATTTTCTGAGCTGTATATCACTGGGTCCAACTGGACATTAAGGGGAAAGGTGTATTCCCTCCAATGGAACATTCACCCTTCCACAAGGACTTTCCACTTCAATAATTGGACTTTTCAAATTAAGCCTGTGTTTAACATCCAACGATCCAGCACAGCCGAAAGCGTGCAAAATGCTAAATTGGGAGATAAGGAAAAATCAGGGGCCATGACAAACAGACCTTTTTTAAAAAAAACACTTGAGAGAGCACCTCTTTGAAAAACGTGCTAAACGTTACCTACATGGGCAGGCCACAGCTACAGTACCGCAGGAGTCTTTATAAGTAGCATATAAAGATGTCATCTATTTGCAGTTGTTAGCCTGCCCACCACAACCACACCTCATGCACTTCCTTTTGTTGATCAGATTAGAAAAGGGGGTGAACAATTTATTTTGTCTAGACAAAATTAGCTTGGCCTTTCCGGGGGGGGGGGAGAGATCAGGCATAGTCCTGTTGCACAGCATTCTTGCTACTACTGACGTCTAGTCTCTTCTTGTAGACATCCGATGAATATTGAATGAGGCTATTGGTTTATATAACTTAGTATTGTCAAAATATCACAGCAATAGTTTCCTAGGGTTTCTCTTCTCTGAGATGGCAGATATTCAGTCATTAGGGACCTTCTGTCTGTACCACCTGCAGTTCCCTAAATCTGAATTACCATTACTGATTCTCTGTTCTCCCCTACACTGGTAGCCTTTTAATTCCTAGTCCTTTCTCGAAAGATCTTGGCAAAGGGTCATCAAGAAACGGCAGGGAAGGCCATTTCCTGATTTTAGATCAGTCTTTCTTGGGGTAAATCAACTTCCAAGAATATCCCCAACTAGGGGGGGGGAAACAGATTTTAGAGTGAAACACAAATGAATCCAGATGTGTCTGAGCTGATATTTTTCTTCCCCCTTGTCCAAGTTTTTTTTCTCCAGCTCATCAAAGTTCAAATTTTCAAGAGATTTTTTTTAAAAAATCCCTACAGAGAGGAGGTGAAGCTAATCTGAAACTGTTCCAGAAGCCCCTGGAAGCAGGTTTTACTATGCACAAAAAAAGCCCCCTAGCTCGACTATGACGAAGCTCAACCAGTGCTTAGATTTGAATTCACAAACAGAATAATTCCATCTTCAAGATATCATTCCGAGCTCAAAAGGACGACTCAATGGACGCAAGACATCTATCATGCATTTGCTCTGTTCGTGCTTTCAGTGTGGGATTTGCAGGAATCCAAGGATCAAAGTGTTTATGCTTTCTATAGAGGTGGCGTAATACAGCTCGCGGTCATTGGCGTCCCCCAAGGACATCGTGCGGGTGACTACAGGAAAGGAAGGTCATGGCAGGACCATCCCAACCCTTAGAGAGACAAGGTAGCCCTTTTAGGCAAGAAAGGAGAGGAAGAGTAGCGTCAGAGCAGTGCCGAAGATCAGAGCTATGAGTACCACCTGGTCGGCCATGGTTTGCCCTCTCACCTAGCTTCTGCGGTCCACGGTTCAAATAGATATTCTAAGACCCTTTCCAAATTGGAATTTGGTGCTCCAGAATCTAAGATTAATTTTGTTCTTTAGGTTCATTTAGGCCTAATCTCATGTACAAGATCCACTGTAGGCTTCTATAGGTTTCTGGATTCCCCCCCACCCCCAACCAGTGTAGCCGCACTACACACCTGTGTGAAACAGGTGCCACTTTTAAGTCTCCCTCCTGCCTAAACTGGGGGTTCGAAGATCAGCAACACCTTTCAAATTTTCGCCTAAATAACCCTAGAGGAGCACCCCTCTGAGCAACGACTGAAGACATGAAGGACCTCCATGAACCGTAAATTTCAAGACTCCATAGGGTTAAACCCACCACTGTTAAAGCATATGGAATGGACATGATTCTGCAGGATGAGCGCCAGTACAATATAGCGGACCGAGGGGTGAGCTAGAACCCCGAAGACCTGGGATCAAATCCTGTTTTTCACCATGGGGACTCACTGGTAAAACCATTCATTAAATATCCCACAATAGGTTCAATAACCTTATCAGGGTAACCCTGAACTGGAAGCAACATGATGGTACTACAGAACAACAGCACAGACGCCATGTTTTTGGTTATACTGCCTTCTAACACAAAGATGTGTGGTTGTACCTGTTTGCAGACTCTGGGAATTGTTCTGATTCCCCCACCTCCCTTTTTTTTCTGCTTTTGGGTTTAAAGCCTCCCCCCTCCCAAGAAATGAGCCTGGCTGAACTGACAAAGCTTTGGCAAATATAAGGCAGGGTACAGGAGAAACACCTTCTGTTCTGCGTGGCCAAACGAACATGATGGGCCCCATTGCAGTACAGTATCATTGAGCCAGAGGTTAGTATCTATGATGTGGCAGGGAGCTCCCTTTAGTTACATTTGCCACTGGTCCATCTCAGATCTGCTGCAAACCAATGGAAGGAGCATCTTCCAAGTCATTGGTGTCCTGCGGTCTCAGTGTATACGTGGGGACCCTTCTTCTACCGTGGGGGATGAACTCCTCCCTCAAATCACAGCCTGCCATGTCCAAACGTTCTAATGCAACATGAGCCAAAGAAAGCAGCTATGATTCGTTGCCAGCAAGTTCAAATATAACTGTATGTCCTTTGATGGGAGAGAGAACAAACTCTGGGATGTTGGCTCATAAGAAAACCCCCAGTTGGCTCATAAGAAAACCCCTCCCGGGTTTTTCTAGGAACCAAGTGCACAGAAGTGGTTGGCTTGTCGCTCTCTGTGGTGACCCTCCGGAGCCATCGGGCAACGTGGCCAAGGCTGGTAGAGGAAGCAGGGCACATAACATGATTAGAAACGTAAGATTCCTTCTGGGTGTTCTTGGCTGCCCACAGACTTCCTCCTGCTTGACATTAATGTTCCCTTTCAAGAGGAAGGAGGCTGGAGGCTTTTAAGGTCCTTCCACCTGAAGATGTCACCGTCTGAACCTGAGAGCTGATGCTTATAAAGCATGTGTTCTATCGCTAAACCACACTCATCAAAATACAGAGGACCCTCTTGGCCTTTCCTTTTTCTTTTTTCCTCACCTGCCCAATGAAGTTCTCCGAGCAAAAGCCAAATGGTGCATGCACAAAAGGCAACCTGGAGAGCTTTATCCATGGGGGCAGACGTTGCCACTGCAGGCAAGGGGCTGCAAAAAGAATAAAATATAAAAACACAGGTTGTTGGGATTCATCTCTCAGTGGATGTTACATCTGTTTGTTCAAAGGGAAAACAAACCAAAGTCAGCCACTTCAGGATCTGTATACAAACATCTATGTATCCATTGAATATTCCTAGCATCAGTTCTGGCCTAACTAGCTCCCTGATATGCTAGATTTCTGCATGTAGGAAATATGTGTGGTTTTTATGAAAAGAGTGTTCAGTTCCCAAAATGTACTGTGTGGCTTTTGTTTTTTTCTGATGGGCAACTGTCAAAGCAACCAGGACATGCGTCATCAAAACTGCAAAAGAGGGCAAATTTATGCGGTTTGGGACAAACTCTTATCCAGTATCCATGCTGGGTGGTGGGTTCTGGGATTTATAGTACCAAAAAGAAACTTCTCCATGTTCTGCCATTTGATGCAAGGAACAGCATAGTTTGGGGAACATTTGTTAGCATTTTTGTTCCCCTTCTCAGTTGCAGTAAAACATGGTGGTCTGAATTCTTTGCACACACACACACACACACACACACACACACCAGCGAGGTCAGATGGCAGACAGTAGGCAAGGAAGAAGGGCAAGATCATAAGGCTTGATTCTGACTTTATCAGGGAGGTGGATCCATCCTGGGTTTTGGTCTAAACTTTACACAGCAAACCTCTTATTCCCAAAATACGTCCACAACCTTGGTAGCTCTTGTAAATTCAGACTAGAGCAGATTAGACTGTCCTGCAAAACCAGCTTTAACAAGGGGCAGTTCAGACTGAACCGAAAGCACTGAGAGGGAATTCAATGGGGAAATCCTCCACTGTCTTCAGAATTTTCCTGGTCTTTAAAAGACATGAGAGCTGGGTTACCCACCAGCTTTGGACAAATCCCAAATTATTAACTAAATCGGCCCAATTTGGAACAATCTGTATGACGAGAATGGCCAGATTCAGCTCTGGGGTGAAGTGAAGCGAATGTACAAGCCAGTTTGAATCTGGAGGACAAATCGAACTGAGTGGAACATAAATAACTTCAGATTTTAATTTTTTTTAAGAAAGAGAAGTAAACTTTAAAGATGTCTAGTATACAAATCTAGGTGTCAGAAATTCAGCAGATTTACCTCCTTTTGGGGGGTTATATTATGCCTGCAAATTTTAGGTACAGTACATCATTACAAAAAAAGAGAAAAGTTAAAGCCAGTAAATTATCAGCTTAAAAAGGCAACAAACAAGGCTAAAATTCTGCATTTAGAAGATCTGATTTTCATAAAATTAACCACACGCTGTGCAAACACTCCCACTTATGGGCTGGGACGGGAGGAAGAAGTTTATAAGTAGGCTGTTAGGTTGGACCTACGGAAATTCCTTAGTTATTCCTCGGCTCAGGCACACGAGTGGGGGGAAAAGGACAGGCAGAGGTTTTTTTTAAGACGTGAGAAAATCCAGCATTATATAGCCTAAAGACATTAAAAGAGGATGATATTCAGTACGTTCAACAGTTGTGTGGGAAGCAGCATTTCAACAGGTATAGCTTCCGTGACCATCTAAACTTGCTGAATTTCCCCTTCCTTTCTCCGTAATAATGATGCCGAACACCCAAGAAATTTTACAAGTTTTCTCCTTAATCTCATTGAGCTTTGCAAAAGAAATGTAAAAGGTTGAGGTTTCCACCCAGAAGCTGTTTTAGAAGTAGGCTCTGGGTAGAAACCTCAAAATTTCACAGTGGACAAAATTTGGGAGCAACTTTACGAACCAACACAAATTTCTGCAGACTGAATTTGACGGATTTTTTAGTCTGTACCAGGGGACTGAAGCTGAGAAAGGATTCTCTGTGGGAAAATCAGCCTAAATTTTATCATCTTCATATGCAAGTCTAATGCCAGAAATCAGGGAAGGAAGGAAACAAGAGGATGAGCTATAAAATACATCTTCCGTCTCAAATTTTGTGGCAGTGGCGAATCCTCGTGTATTTACATCAGAGCTTCGCTTGCGCTGTCCAAGCACATGTAATGTAGCAAAACAGGGTTATCTATGCCATGCATGGGGAAAAATAGGACTTCTACTGAGTGGCTGTTCAGTCCAAACCACTTTCTAAGCTTGGCATGCAGGTGCATATTTCAAATACATATTTGCCCTTTCACAATGCTGGGATTAAAACGAGGGCTTAGGCAAACACTGTTTTTCTTACGATGAATTCTGTTTTTCCACTGGTTTGGAAAAAAAGGGTTCATCTCCTTCCTCCAGGAATTCGCTGGTTAGAAGAGACTGCAGTTTTGCCAAACTCCACAACATCCGCAGTGCAAAAACAGTGTTTAGCTTTCCAGGAGAGGGGATTGCACCAGGACAGAGAAGGAACTTAAGTGACAATGACCGGCCAAAGGATAACGAAGCAGCTGAGATTTGTCACACTTACAGTTGGCGAATCCTTGAGCTTCGGCGGGACAGCCACAGCAGCAGGAGCAGCACAAGGAAGAGCGATCACACACACGGACAGCTCGGCCAAGGTCTTCTGCGGGATGCTGGCATAAATCAACCGTAGGGACCCCCTTGCCCAATTCAGACTTAGAGGAGGAGCTTGGCTGGGGGAGGAGAGGGGAGCCTTCCCGAAACAGAGTCCTGTTTCATTTTGCACTTATTGAAAGACCATCTCCTCCAGCCTGTCCGGGTTTCAAGAATCTGTAAGAGGAGAACGCTTTCTCTTGGTGCCACCACCATTTAAGGCATGTTTAAGGAATTTAACTCCTAAAGAATAAGGCTTTCACCGATGTGCCCTTAACCTTTGGTTTACTTCTTTTTATGTTGTTTTGAACCCAAAATCTGTTTGTTTGTTTTTAATTTGTTGGCTTTGAACTCCTAAAGAATAAGGCTTTCACCGATGGGCCCTTAACCTTTGGTTTACTTACATTGTTTTGAACCCAAAATCTGTTTGTTTGTTTTTAATTTGTTGGCTTTGTTTCATCAGCTGCAAGAAGCGGGATTGATAGCAGGAAAATGTGGGCTGTGTCAAACTCTGTAATTTAGAGAAATCCAAATCAAACCTATGTCATGTAATATGAGCTGGATTTCTGGAGGGGGACATGCTCCTTCCCCACACCTCTCTTATCTGAGGTGCTAGATTTCTACAGGCAGAATGTGTTGGTTTGCTACCTGGCTGGCTGGCTGGCTGAAAAAAGAGAGCATTGGATCTTGCAACAGTGAGGTGCTAGATTTCTACAGGCAGAATGTGTCGGTTTGCTACCTGGCTGGCTGGCTGGCTGGCTGAAAGAAGAGAGCATTGGATCTTGCAACAGATTCAAGATTTTGATTATTGCCTACAAAGCCCTTCATGGTTTGGGACCACATTACCTGTTGGAGAGTCTTTTCCTCCTGTCATCTACGGTCTTCGTTGCTGTGGCACGAAACACTCTGGAACCAACTCCTAACCTTTGGAAGGCTTCTGAGGTTGGAGAGTCTTTTCCTCCTGTCATCTACCTGCTCCAATAGGTCCTCCCAGGCAATGAGCCTCCAGGGGACCACTCTGAAGGGGGCCAGGAAGTCATCCACTAAAAGTGGGGTCTTCGTTGCTGTGGCACGAGACACTCTGGAGCTGTGCCGGGCTCCCTCCTAACCTTTGGAAGGCTTCTGAAGATGTTGCTTTACAGAAAGGCCTTTTATTGTAAACCTGGCTGGGTTATTTTTCCTCTCCTTTTAATATATTCCACATTCCACATTTAATTTGCAATTATGCCTCTTGGAGTTTTATATTATTTCTGCATTTCATTTTAATTTTATTGATTTGTGCTTTTATCACATTGTCGTAAACCAGCCAGAATAGTACAGTGCATTAATGGGATGGTATATAAATCTAATAAATAAATGGATAAATCAATACATCAATAAACATGACCCAGGTGTCAGTTTTGCTTTGCTTTGTTGAGTGTTTCTCAAGGAACCCGGCCCATGGGGAGGGGTATCAGCTCAAGGAAGAGTAGACTCTTTAGACACCAATTCTTGAGCATTTTGCTTCTCCACACACACACACCCCTGTATTTTTGGGCCTGGCAAAATGGGGCATTTGGAACAGGAGCCTGGCAATGCTGGGAAACATTGTTAGGAGCTTACCAAAAAGATGGGCCCAGACCAGCAAATATTGGTGACTTGCCTTTCCTACAGTTCGTGCAAGCAATAAATGGCCTTTTCTCTGAATTTTGAGAAATGGTTCCATCATCAACACCCTAGTTTTGCTGCAGACGTGTGTTTTTTCCCCCACCTCCAGGACTAACATACCTCTGATGGGTCCCCCAGTATCCAACCATTTTAAATTTCTCATAATGCACAGTAGACGACCAGTAGAAACCCCTTCAAGAACTCTTGGATTTAGAAGCAGGCCATGCGAGACACTGTGGGAATTTCAGGAAGGGTTTGTTTCTTCTCATCTGCTAAGGTACGCACAAGTATGTACAACCGAGCCCTGGCCGATGCTCAAAGGTGCCAAACGCCAACCCCAGCACTAAAGCCAGAGACTAGGCCTACCCATTTTTTAACACAAAGCTGACTTGTGGCTCACTTAATGCTTGGGAACTTACCTTCTGGGAAAGGTGGGAAGATTTGGTTCCACAATGGCAGAAATGAAAGATCTGGTTTTCCTCACATCCTGCTGATGGATAGCTTAGAGCCATGATGTCCAGCATCACATTGGGTCTCTTCCCTCTGTTCCTTCCATCAAGGAGAAATCTGGTGAAACTGAAACAGCTGAAGGCTTCTCAATAGTTATTGGATGTCTACACTCGGTGGCTGGGGTTGGAGACAGATGCTTATAGGATTTCCTGTTTCATGGGGCAGCTTGGCTGACTTTGACTGCTATGTATCTTTGACTTCAGCAGGTAGAATTTGCAGTGTTACCTAACTAGTCGCCTCCATTTCCACAAAGGTGCCAAGTTTCGTTTTGATCTCCTGTACAAGAGCCATCCAAGAAGCTGAATTTTACGCCCAAAATTGGCTCAGGAAGGGCACGTGGCTTGCTTTTAGAACTCAACTGCCATTCTTTCGAAGAACTCAAATCAGTGGCAATGGAAAGTGGAGTCTGGAGATGTGCGGGGACCACACAAACAAACAAGGACCACATATCCCATCACCCAAAGCCTATTTATTCTCCCAGGAATAAATCTGCACCTGAGTCATAAAACAACAGGAGGTACTAAGAGCCTAACTGCAGACTGGAAACCCTCTTTTTTTTTTTAAGGGACTGAAATTCTTACCAATCTTCTGAAAACTATTTGAGATCTAGGCAGCTGGTCAGGTGTACTTTACAGCCATCTTTTGTGCCCTAGCAGCCGTATCTCTGAGTCAAGACATCTGTCCTTGAAAACAGATGTTGCTCTGTGCTGCATCCAAATTCTGGCAAAGCTAAAAAGAGGTGTCAACATATGTGAGATATTTAAGAAGTGGTGTTACCACTGCAAACCCCCACCCACCCAAGTGAGTTTCCCAGACTGGAAGACGAGACATTTGAATCCAGGTCTCCTGAGTTCTAGGCCGCCACCCTCTCCACTATGTCACACTGGCATTCCCATGCTGTTAGGTAAAGGTTACAAATCTCGGGATGAAAAGAAGCTGACAGGTTTGGAGTTTCCATAAAAGGGTAAGGAGAGTTTCATGGCATCTGGGTATATGAGCAACGCTCCCCTCTTTACGCACATGTATCGCCCATAATCAGCCACAAGCAAATGAGGTCTCAGCATTTCTAAATGAAGCCACTCAGTATATTCTGTGCCTGTTGAGCTGAATAGGTTATTCTTTGGATTGGATCAGGAAAGCCTGAGGGACGCTTCAAATGCATCTGGGCTAATGAGAGCCGCGTCTTGTTCTTGGGTTTTACGTCTACGACAAACAACACCAAGCAACCCGCCCACACCACCAAAAGCCTTTCAGGCTGATGCTAAACAGTGGCAAGCCAGGAGTTGGTGCCCTGTGAATATTAATTAGAGAGGCTTTATTCTCGTGACAATACAGGACAAGCCTCCGGCACATCATACATTCAGTTTTGCCGATTGGCAAAATCCTTCCAAGATTTGAAGGACATTGGAGACGTTACTACAGCTCTCTGCTCCAGAAAGGAAGGAAGGAAGGTCCCGTCTCTCTTCAAAAGAAAAGGTGGCAGGAAACGTTTCTGAAAGCAAAAAACACCGTCGACTGGGGAGGCCATGGGTAGATAAAGCTAAGAGGAGATGGCAAGGCTCAGATTTTGAGTTAAGTTGATTCCTACAAGGAAAGAAGAACACAAGAGTTGTGTAGTCCCACCTCCTGCTGAGACAGGATATCTTGATCCTTTAATTTTTTTTACAACTTTTCCTCTTTTAATTTTTAATGTTATTTCTTTTATTTAGATGGGAGAGGCCTGGAGTCCCATTCTTGGGAGAAGGGCAGGATATGTATGGGGGAAAAGGAGAAAGAACTTAAAAGTTGGTTCCTGCGACTGGGAAGACTCGTGTTCAAATCTACTCAGTCGATTTAGCCCTGAAACTCATTCAGCGGCGTTAGGAGGAGCACAATCTGCTCAACAGGGTTGTTGTGAGCAGAAAGGAGGGGATGATCATGTAAGGCACCTGGAGGAGAAAGGCAGAGTATTGTAAAAGGATGAATAAACAAATAGAAGCAGTGCAGGCAGGCAAAAAAAAAAACATAATTGAAGAAAACTCAAGACGCAGCACAATCTCACTGTTTAGTGAGGGACCCTATCCAAAGTCAAACGGCCATGGCAATATCACAGGAAGGAGGAGGAGGTAAAAAGGGAAAAGGAAGAAATCCTTGTGCTCATAGATAAATAGGTTAAATAATCTTTATTTTGAATAGTGTCAGTTGGTTTTACAAATAGATTTTAAATTATTTGCAATATAGAGAGAAGAAATGTTACAAACAAATAAACCAACAACAACAAGCCCACCCCCAACCCTTCACTGGTCCCCCTTCTCTTCCCTCCCCACCCTTAGCCAGATATAATACAAGGGCTGGAAATTAAAATACTATTTCTTCTCTTTCTAAAGCATCTCAATAGATTCTCCCTCATTTTTCTTCTTCAGGAAAATGTACATTCACCATAAGAAATGATGATTAGGGGCAGGGGGATTAAAAATTAAAAAGTTTTTTAAAAAAGGTTATTCTGTTTAACTCCGAAAAGAGTTAATGGGGTCTTAGGTATGCATACACACATAGACATAACATGTATTCTGCATGGCAGTGTAAAAGGACTCAAATGAAGAAACTGACCGGAACAGATCTAGGCAAAATTCAATCTTTCTGTGGCCGGTTAATCGAGGGAGATAAAAACCCTGTGAGTGACTGCTGGATCGTTCCATGATTTAAGGACACCAGAGGTTGGGAGTTCGATTCCTTCCCCTCGCGATCCATAGGGTCCCTTCCGACTCTGCACTTTGATGATGATGATGATCATGGAGCAAAACAAAGGAAATAAAAACATGCCTTCCAGCCTCTCTCTTCAGCTGCCTTCCTGTCCCTTAAATTGTTATTTAAAAGGGGGGAGGCACAAGGACATAAGAATGAAATTTAAAGCTAGACTCCTTAAAGATTTTTTTTTATTTTGATGCATCAAAGTCCCTGCCTGTTTCCGTTCATGCTGAAAGTGTCGATTGCTTGGGAGGCTTCATAAGTTCCCTATTTGCAAATTCCCATACAAACTGACGTGACCCAGAGTTTGGGTCTGAATCCAGCTTTCCACCAGGCTTTTACAGTCTTGCATCGAAGGGCGTGTGAAGCCATGTTCAAGAAAAAAAATATGGTTTACAATGACAATTTTACTGCCGGGTTTGGAATTTGGAGGGGGGGGGGAAGGCAGGCGAAATGGACACAGAGGAAGTAAAGACAATCCAGCTAGTGCTGGTCTAGAGCACCAAGAAAGGAAGGCTGCTCTGTACTTCCAATAAGTTCCCTATTTGCAAATTCCCATACAAACTGACGTGACCCAGAGTTTGGGTCTGAATCCAGCTTTCCACCAGGCTTTTACAGTCTTGCATTGAAGGGCGTGTGAAGCCATGTTCAAGAAAAAAAAATATGGTTTACAATGACAATTTTACTGCCGGGTTTGGAATTTGGAGGGGGGGGGGAAGGCAGGCGAAATGGACACAGAGGAAGTAAAGACAATCCGGCTAGTGCTGGCCTAGAGCACTAAGAAAGGAAGGCTGCTCTGTACTTCCGTGTCCCTGCTAATCTCAAATATTGGAAACCTGAAGGCTATAGCAGGCAGGGAAGAGATCTCATGGAGAAGGATAACAGCTGGCACCAGAAGCAATGGCCTTCTTGGTACATCACTGCATATTCCTCTGTCTTTTTGGGTCCTTTTCTGTTGCTGTTCCTACACTGTGGAACTCCCTCCCACAAGAGGCCAATACAGTCCTTTCTTGGCTGTTTCTCTTCACTCGGACATTCCCCCCCCGGGACTGGTTGGGGGAGCTTTAAAAATGGGGCTGTCATGTCTTTCTATTTTTTAAAAATGTATTTTTAAAGCATTTTTATGCACTAGTTTACTTAGCGCACTGGTCTTGATTGCTTTTTAATTTGCATTCTTTCAATATTTTCTGTTTTAATAGCGTGAAGTGACCTCGGATCCTCTTAGGAAGAACGGCGGAGTACAAATAATAAAAACGAATGACAAATGAATGAATATTCAATCTACCGCGGGGGGGGGGCTATCAATTAAATTTCAGTTCTATGAGAACTACATTTGTTATAAGTGAAAGTTCCTTGCTAGAAATGGGTATAACTTTTTTTTGTGCCTTCATGGGAACCACCTCCTAGGATTTCCTGAGAAGAAGACCATCAGACAGCTGGGTTCGATATTCTTTGCAGAAAGCATTCTTATCTCCTCCGGTGGTCAGCAGGGAGGAACTTGCGAAATGATTGCAGACAAAATCTGAATTATTAAGGAACGGGGTCTGATTTGGACTGATCTGTCTGAGGCTCAATTGAAGAGGAATGCGCTGATTTGGTTTTAAGGGTGAAGCAAGATGAACGTATAGAATCATGGAGATCCATGGCATTTATTGAATTAGATGAAACAAAAATCACCTTCCCCCCCCCATTTTCTTTCCCCTGAAATTTATTCCTCTCTTCAGTGCCTACCTTGTGTTCAAATGTCACAAACTGCACATTGATGCAAAACCAAAATGTTGTAGCCACTGGAGTTTCCTGACATGCACGGTGATAGACTGGTGATCCGAATTTGCAAAAGGATTCAAATCCAGGGTGAATGCTGGATCGGGTGACACATCCTAGAATGAATCGGGATGCATCAGAATGGCCCAAGTTGGCCTCTGGACTGAATTGGGGGTTTGTTTCCACAGCCCCACAGTAAATGCACTTGACTTTGCCAGCAAGACTGCTTGGCAAACAAACAGGTGGATGTGTGTTTCTGGGAGAGAAGAGACTGGGAATACAGGACAGAAAAAAGAAATGGCCAGAGCAAAACTGAGGTCAAAATGGATTAGAACAATGGGAAAATGGGCCTCTGAATTAAGTTAACTTGGGTCTGAATTATAGAAGAAAAGGTAGCAATACCTACACCAAAATCTTCCCTTCCTTCTGGGATTTTCCTCTCAAGTTTCTGGTGCAACTTTGGTTATGAAGTGGAAAAGGCTATGAGATGAAGCTATGAGATGATGGCTATTGGAATGATCTCCTCTCCATCCGTCATGTTCCGGAGCCTCATGGTGTGGTGGTTAAACTGCAGTACTGCAGTAAGGACTCTGCTCACAACCTGAGTTTGATCCCAGAGCAGGTTCAGGTCGCCAGTTCAAAGTTGAATCAGCCTTCCATCCTTCTTAGGTGAGTAATATGAGTACCCATCTTGTCACTGAGGGAGGAGGGGCAATGGGTAGCCTGCATAATTAAATTGCAAACTACCTAGAGAGTGCTTTAAGCATTATGGGGTGGTAGATAAGCAATACACTTTGCTTTTGCTTTCTGCTCTAGAACCAGAGGCTTCCTGACTATGCAAAGGGACAGACATGGGGTTAAACAAAGGACTCGCCTGCCTCTTATTCAGTAACAGGATGGCAACCCACAAAAACTCATTTTGAAATAAATCTGTAAAAGGTTCTTCGATCCTTCCTCCCATTTTTGCTAAACATAAACGTGATCAATTTGTGGGAAGGCCAGTTTTCTGGGCGGGGAGATCAAGCCAAAGAGGGTGTAAAAAACCAGGAGTGGGGGAGGCATTTCCCTCATCTAGACAAAATATTCTTGCCAACCAGGAGATGAGTGAGGGAAAGCCTTCAAGAGGAAAACTGGAGACCGGCAAAGCGTTTCTCTCCATGACAGAGAAATTATTGTCCATCAAGAGTAGACGTTCCTCACCATTAGAAACAAAAATCAGTGGTTCGGAATCATACAAAACTTGGCAAGACTGGGACGAAATTGTAGAGGCTGCTGTAGGATGGAAGGAATCCGATGTACGAGCATCAGAAGGACACTGACTTAGGCAACTAAACCACTTGCCCTTATCATGAAAACTAGAGAGAGGTCTTCTCTCATCAAATAACCCTTGACTCTTTTCAACCGCCCCCCCCCCCCAAAATGCTGGCCTACTGCCTTCCGGAACAGAAGCGCGATGCTGACCACTTCAGTCCGTAAGTTCAGGCAGCAGCTGACGGCAGCTTCCAGCTCTTTCATGCTGTGGTCGGGGGTCCCGCCTGACCAGGAAAAACAAAAGCAGTCCTCCAAGAAGACAGTAGAAGGGTTGTGAAGAACGTGCTTTTTAGGGAAGACGGAAGCAGACGATCTTCTTGGGATCTGTTCCCTCCCCCAGGGAAATTCTGGTTGCCCATCCCCCATATTGCATGCTACAGATTGCATTATTATTATTATTATTTCACATACATATAAATTGTCTTTTGGAGACTGTGGGGGGGGGAGGAGGAGGAAGAGGACAAGGTTTCTTTATGGTTCTGCACCATGTGCGTTCTTTATTATTATTATTATTTTAAAAGAAGGTTTCATTTTGGGTTTTGTAGGTTTTGCTCCCATAAGGATTGTAAACATCAATCTTCTTCAGCCCTTCCTAGTGTTAGAGTTTGAACATGAAGACGACTTCGGTGTCAGGGTTCAAGTCCGTTTGGTTCTTGTATTGGGATGTAAACAGGTTGGAGGTTGCTGTGTCCATACAGGGCCCTCCAGCGAAGCAGCAGGCTCCCTCGGGGTTACCCCTCTCCTCAATGGGGCTGCCTGTGCTCAGGGCCAGGGTTTTCAGCCTCTGCCTCTCTTGTGCCTGCTTGGCTCGGTTGGCAATGTACTTCACCCTGCTCTGGCTCCGAGAGGAGTACCTTCGGAGGAGACCCACCCCTTCCTCTTCCTCCTCAGACTCGGTTGGCTCAAGGCTGGTTGGGGAAGTGATGTCGCCCTCCTGCTGGAAGGCGGTCAGCTTCCTGAGGCGCTCCGTGAGCCCATCTGGAGGCTTCGCTGAGGTTCGGGCCATAGCGCAACAGCGCTGCTCTCTCATCGACCGGGTGACAAAGCTTCGGCTGATCCTGCGGTACCTGCTCTCGAACGTGCAAGCGATGTCATCTGACGTCAGGTCGCCAAGGCTTTTGGACTTGGCCTGGTTCATCTCAGCCTTCTCCTGGCTTTTGGGCTTCAGGCAGGACTGTTTGAGGCTATCCATGTACAACTGGCTCCAGGTAGGCCTCCTGTGCGTGGATGATAATCCCGGCTCAAGACCCTTGGCTAGCGGTCTTGGACACAGCTCATCCTCTGTAGCTTGATCTGCCCTCAAGTTGGGATTGGATTTGCTCTTAGCCACCTTGGGAGGATGACACCGAGATGCAGCGTTAGCAGACCATGGACGCATGCCTCTTTTCTCAGGGAGGGCTTCAAACTCCTCAGGCTGGACACCGAGGTCCGGGAGGCTTTTCCGAGCCAGGCTGGGCAAAGAGAGGTCTATGACGGTGTCATTGGAGGACATGCTGGAAGAGGAAGACATACTGTCCCTAAGTTTGCTGGGATCTAGTTTACGCCAAATGTGGTCATTGAAGGTGGCATCTGAGTATACTTCAGCTGCTGGGGAGAAGCCACTGGGATTCCTCGGGGGGACCGGGAAGTTGCACAGTTTGTACCCATCACTCTTTGACCTCCTCACTACCAAGTGAGACGTGGGCACCGTGGGACCTTGAGTTGCTTGGGGAGATTCTTGAGAGGACGTTGGTGTGGTGCTGTTTACCATGTTGCTTTGGTGTGACTGCCCCACAGCAGCAGTGCCCTTCTCTGTTCTCTCAACTTTGATCCCTTCTCCAGCCATGTCATCTCTTTGCTTCTGGCATTTGCTGGCAGAATGAAGCCAATGGCTGGCGAATGCTACGCAGTCCTGAGTTTGTGAACCAGACTGGTCTCCACTGCCACCTGTCTCTTTCCGGCCACCACCACCTCCTCCTCCTCCTCCTGCTTTGCTTTTCCTCCCATCTTCCCATTCCAGTTTAGCTGTGGTGGTTGGGTTCGGAGCAAGGAATGTCTCCTCCTCCTCCTCCTCCTCCTTTGCTTTTTCTCCCATCTTCCCATTCCAGGGTAGCTGTGGTGGTTGGGTTGGGAGCAAGGAATGCGGCCCCGTCCGTAACAGCCTCTGCGTGCTGCTGAAGAAGGGGTTCCCCAAGTAGAGGATCTGACCAGTCGCCTTCTTCTGAACCAGCGTCAGAGGGATGATCAGGCACATGTCCTTCTTTGGAATCAGTGGCAGGGCTGGTGGAAAGATGAAAGCAAGGCTGGCTCTCCTTGGCAACAAAGGGCTCTTCGCTGATGGTCTCCAGGCTGCATAATGAAGAGATGGACCTCTGCACTGAGAATTGGCAGACATCTGGGGATGGGGAAGGAAACAAAAACCACAATATGAGAGCCCAAGTTGGATCACCTCCTGGCAGATGAGTTTTTTCCTAACAAAGGTGGGCAATTTGTGGCCTTCCAGATAGGGAACATACAAAGCTGCCTTACACAGAAACCATCTGGTCTAGTATGGCCAGCTCTGACTGGCAGCAATGGTTCTCTGTCATCTGAAGCAGGAGATCTTTGGTGGCCTCCCATCCAAGAAATAATCAAGCCTGATTCTTGTTGGCTTCTGAAATTAGACAGGATCAGTTGCATTAATGGCGGTTAATGTTGAATATCATTTCCCACAATCCCGCGCCACTTAGGCCGCTAAGGCTGATGGGAGCTGTAGTTCAACAACATCCAGAGGGCCACAAATTGCCACTTCAACTGCATAGTGACCACTTTTGTACACCACGTTTCTACATTGGCAAAAATATATTGGATCCCAAATTATCTATTCAAAAGGCCCAGTTTGTTTAAAATATCAAGATTCTTTGGACAATATATAAGCTTGCATATAGGCACCAAGCACTCATGGCTGTCAACATGAAACTAAACCTCCCTTGTTGACCCAAATTGGCAGGATGTCGAGGTGCCAGTCTGCCATCTTTCCACCCTCTCTCTTCAGAGGACATATATGTTGTCCATAGAACTGAATGGAGGCTACTGAGAACCAAATCCCCCTTCCCTCACTCTCAGCCATCTGTCTTGGTGGGATAACACGAGAGTAGCAGTGGTCATAGCATTTTTAAAGCCTGTGATTGAGAGACTTCTAAAAGGTAGCTACATTAGCCTCTTGGGTAGTGAACTAACTGTCTTGTGTCACCAAGTCAGTTCTTCAGATGTGCAGTGGCTATATTCCACGCCACTGGTGAAGTGGGCTACGTTCTGAAAAAGCTTATGCCAAAAACATGACCGTTTTAAAAATCAAGCCACCACGTTCTTTGTTATTTGTGGTGAAGAGTGTATCCATCTGCACTGAATAAAACAAGAGCAAATGTTTATTGATGGGTTTCAGTTTTCCTTGGGGCCATGAGTTGCTCATTCTATGGGGTCAAGTTCTGAATCTTTCTCTTCCTCAATCCCCAGTTGAACTAAAGAATGCATTTACAAATGTTAGGTTTCCAAAATCAGGAAGGACTGAAACCAAAGGATGGACAGATTTCTTTTTGTTCTTATTCCTCTCCACGACCTTGATGCGCAAGTACAACTGATTATTAACAAAATTTGCAAAATAAATAAATAAATACAATTAAAATGCCGTTTTCATGCAACTGAATGAAAATGCAGTTCTGCAGACTCACCCGTGTACGACGTATAAACAATTTTGATGCAATACTGCATGCAGCAGCAATGAAATGGCTTTCTTAATGCAGTTTGCCAATGCGTGCATGCCTTAGTAATGCAATGAAATACAGAACTGAAAGCTATGACAAAACTTTGCATTTACGGTAAGCTGTATACATTTGGATCAGTGGTTCCCAACCTTGGGTCCCCAGATGTTATTGAACGGCAACTCCTAGACATTTCAGCACAACTTGTGGTGGAGTTTTCTGGGAGTTGCAGTCCAAGAACATCTGGGGATCCAAGGCTGGGAAACCATGTCCTAGGTGTACCCCAGCTTTGCACGGGTGGAAGTTGGGGAGCAAACCAGATACAGTTCAGTGCACCCTAGAGACCTCTTGTTTCTATTTCTGGTGAGCCCACTCTGAACCCCAAGCCCTTTATAAGTTTATCCATTGCTATTAGTAAAGAAATATCAGAAACATCATCTTCCAAATAAGAAGCAAATGAGATTTTTTTAAAAAATCTCTCCATTCTCTTAGTAGGGCTACGGTTTCTGTGGGGGACTGGAACCAATCTGCAGATGTCAAAAAATGTGGAGGTCCCGATTGCTACACTTTGAATGGTCTCTGGCTCCTTTTTGTGGCCATTTCTGGTAAATAAACCCTGGAAATACATACAAATTCATATTTCTGAATTTTTTAAATGTAGTATTTTAAGGCGGCGGATAAGTGAATCCGTGGATACTTGGATGGGGTTGTTCCTACTGTATTCAACACCTAATAGCAAGGTGCCCGTTGACTCCAGAACTTTATGTTGCCTGACAAAGTCTTATATAAATCAAAGAAGCAGACATATACACACACATACATAGAAGCATGCTGCAAGGAGGAAAGAAAGCATTCTGATGTCAGTAGCTAAATTTTTGACTGGTCATGCCCAGTGATATGGGAAGAGATACTCATTTCTTATGCACTGTAATTTAACATATTATCCGTTTACAGATGACATTGGGAGTGACTGCATCCCAGAAAAATAAATTTCAGAACATACACACGAGAGATCAAGCTATCATGCAGTAGGGCTGGAAAGGGCAACCATGGGTGATCACAAAGAAATGATGGGAAAACAGGCAATGGTAACACTGAAAACCAGCAATGCTCAAGAGTTACCTGTAACTCGCTCATCCTTTCAGTTCTTAACTACACAGACAAGAGAGTGCATGTGGAATAGGACAGAACAGAAGGAGGAAAAAAAACCCAGTTAGTTCAGGGAAGGCTGGAACAGATAAGGAATCAACGAAATGGGGGGGGAGAGCAGAGAAACAAAGGTCTTTGGAGGAGCTATCAGTAGGATCCTTAGAATTATTTTTATGACCAACCAGAGTGGCCGAGGGGGGAATAGCAATCAAGAGGTGATCAAAAGTCTGCTCGCCATGCCAGAAAAGGGGGGAGGGAGATGACGGTTGTAAGGAAGAGAGATGCTCCAGGCTTTCATGCAATGTCTCTTTGGGGGATTTTCTGCAGAAATCTGTGCTGCAGAATGTGGTCCTGAATGATGACACCCCAGCTAACAGATGGCAGCAGCTTTGGTATGGAGCCAGACAATCTGGAATGGGGCAGGGCATGTTTGGGCTCCCGCAAGATGGTCAAGAGCACAGGGTAGCCTTTCTCACCCTCAGAAGGCCCCTCCGACACAGCCAGGAGTTAAGAATTCTGGGTCCCGAGGTCCGGAACCCCTGGAGGATCAAAGCTGGAGAGTGGCTCTAGATCTCACCTCTTTCTTTCTTTCTCTTATTTCTCTGCCTGCAAACTACTCCTCCCTAACCAAAAAGGCTGTCACGGGATAGCTAGCTCAAAAGCAGCACTTTTTACAGTGGGGTCTTGACTTGAGAACTTAATCTGTATTGGAAGGCGGTTCTCAAGTCAAAAAGTCTGTAGGTCAAGTCTCCATTGACCTACAGTGCATTGAAAACCGATTAATCCCGTAGCAGGCCGTTTTTGTTCCATTTTGTTTTTTTTCTGGTCTGTAAGTCACTTCAAACCTAAATTTGAATTTAAACCTGCAAGTCAAACCTAAATTTTGCGGCCAGAGAAGTCTGTAACTCAAAAAGTCTGTAAGTCAAGCCGTCTGTAAGTCAAGGGTCCACTGCACCTTCAAAAAATAAAGTGGATAGCAATTCGTCACAGTCATAGATATTAAATCCCAGTATTTGAACCCAACTGCTAGAGTAGGTTCATTGCATCAGCGGGATTTATATAAATCCAGACACCTCCAGCAATTGATTCAACAGCCCATTCTAGTTAGGACTAGCACGTAGATTTAGTTCCTGGCTATTTTTAAACAAGAGTCTAATCATATTTAAAAAGAGAGCAAATACTCATTGTTTTGGGCCCTCTTCGTATTTGGGAAGTGGAAAGTGCAATACATAAAATTCCATTAACGGACTTGATTCAAATACAACTAAATGTGATGAATTTCAACATAATTAAATAAAGCCCAAGATAAACCCAGTCCAAAAAGCTGGCAGGTTAAGCAAAACCAAAGGGAGGGAGGGAAGGAGAAAGACAGCCAGAGAGAGAGAGAGAGAGAAAGGGAGGGAGGGAAGGAAAAAGACAGACAGAGAGAGAGAGACAGAAAGGGAGGGAGGGAGGGAGGAATTTATTTTGTAGGGTTTCAGAAAAATGTCCTGATGTCTATTCCCAATACTTACAGAACAAATTCCCCAAATTATCTTTAACAATGGTTATATTGAATTTTCCCTTTTGTTAATCTCTGTACAAAGCTCTGGTTGGATTAAAAACAAATCTTAGAATCGTACTTATGCACCGAATAATGAAAGTGCACAGAGAAAGAGAGAGGGAAACCCACACATCACAGAAAGATTAACTATTGGAAATGGTTTTGGCACACAGGGAACAAATGAACACTCATCTATGACTGGACACATCTAGAGGGAATGAAGCCCCAGACAGAGAAAGACGAAGGAATGCCTTTGTATGCGCTTCAACGACCCCCCCATCCAAACTCACAGCTATGAGGAAAGCTAAAATGGCTAAATCAAATAAACGAATGCAAGCGACTCTAAGGAGCAAACGGAAACTTCTAAGGGGAAACTGAAATAACAGGATGATCTACAGCGTTCGATGGGGGTGTGTGTGAAGAAGGTCCAGTCTTACCAGTAAAGAATATAGGGGATTTACTCCGAATTTCCTCCAGCTTTTCAGCAAACAAGGCATTCATTTCCCTCTGAAGGGTGCCCGCTTGTTTTCTGGAGCTCTCGGGGAAGCGCTTGGGGCAGTCGGGGCTCCCGAGGCTCTCCAGGCTGCTGGAGTCGGAGGTGATGGAGCCATTGCTGGCGGTCACCAAGTTGACGGTGCTTCCGTATTTGCCGCCGGGCGGGCCCGGCCACCTCTGCCGAGAGGGACCTCTCCCTCCGGGACCTTTAGAGTCACCGTTTTTCTTCCCCGAGTCCGCCAAGGGCTGGCAGGTCCTCGGCAGGTGGCCCGCCACCCCGTAGCCGCTGCAGAGGTGCAGGTCGGGCTGCGGCCTGGGCTGCTGCTCTTGGACGGCGCCCCGGCTGGCCAGCTCTAACCTCTCCTCGTCTCCCGCTAGGCTGCTATACCGGCCGCCGGGTGGCGGAGCGCTAGAGGCAGGGCCCCCGCCGGCCTGGTCGCCCCACCTGCACTCCAGATCGGGGCTCCCGCTAGAGCCGACCATGCACTTCATGCAGTTGGTGGCCATGCCAATCCTACCCGATCCATTGATGGCACAGCGGGCGAAGACCCCCTGCTTCTCGTCGGGGGGCTCCTGCAGGCGGACCCGGTCGGACCTCCGGAGGGGCTCGCTGAAGGTGGCGCCCCTGTGGGCCTGGCCGCTTTTACCTTTGCCGAAACTCTGGGCCTTACCTTTGAACCCCTTGGCTTCCGCCTGAGAGCTATCGCTAAGAGAAGGCGCCGGGGAAGGTGCGCATTCCGGCTCTTGGTCAAAACGGGGCAGGGAAGACTCTTCGAGGTCCGGATCTTCGCCGGCCCCTTCGGAGCTGTTGTCTTTGGTGTCAATGGCAATCTCGGGAAAGCCCTTCTTGCTCTTCTTCTGGGTCTTGGTGGGCGCGCTGGCCGTCCGCCGCAGGAGGTGGCTGCTAAAGGAGTGTTTGTGGTTGAGTTGGCCAGCAGCATGACTGTCGAGAGAAGCCTGCTTTGGATTTCTGAGAAAGAGACCTTTTAAGCCCAGCGCTTGCTTGACCTGGAACAACAGAAAGAAAGTCCCCGTAACAGACCATGTGCGTTTCTCCTTTGTGTGTGCATGGGGGGAAAAGACACAAATATTAGCGGGATGCAAGGCGTTATTGACCTTGTGGGTCGCATCACCTGGCCAGGTTGGGCTGGAAGACAAAATGAGGAGGAAGGGATGAGGTGCAGTTTTGATTCAAGGCTTTTGTGTCCTGATGGCAGGCTCAGAAACTATGCTTGGGATTTATGCATGTTTACTGAGAAAAAGAAAAAAAGAAATTCAACCCCCTCCTGTTTCAGTTGGGCTGGATGTCATGAACCATGGGGGCCTGTTTGGCTGAGAGGGACAGAGAGAGGTGGACAACAACAGCCTTCAGAGCAGAGTCTGGAGGAGCAACTTCTGGACTACAGTTCCCAAGAACCCTCAGGGAGTCTTCACTTTTGGGGTATACTTTGGGCCTGTGTTTCCTGCTGCTGATCCCCTGTGTGTGGGTTGTAGCCTTCACTTATGAGACCTTGCTCAAAGATGGTCACGTTTTTAAAAATCCCACTTGAGTATCGATTCTCCGTTTCAATCCCAAACTGGAATTAAACAGCCAAAGAGCTAAGGGGAATCCCAACACAAGCAGATGACCAGCAAATAGCCTGCCATCACAGTCCCTGTTTTGGCCACCTTATGTTTCAAAAGCATGTGCGAAACTTAGACACTGTTGGGTATTTTAACAATGAAGTCCTCTGTGTGTCTAATCAGAATTAATTCCCAACGGAAACAGCTGGATTTGCTCTCAGGCAAATGGGCACAGGATAGCAGCCTCAGCACGCTGAGTGGAAGACCAGCTTGGACAACAGATCTTTCCCCTTCCTGCTCCTGGGATCCCCCTGAAAAGACCCTGCACCTCATTAGTTGGACGTGCCTGATGCTGGCCAGTCCATGCTTGCAAAAGGGAAACTACACAAGTTTTGGCTGCAAATCGGTGCTGGTTGCATTCCTGAGCCACGCGCCCAGGAAGGCAAGTGCCACCTCATTAACGAGTGCCAATTTGCTGCCAAGAATTAACTGGTTATCCTCACGCAAGAGTGAATCAGTGATAGGATTTTGGCCATTCTGGCTGGAAGGAAGGGAATAGGAACCTGGTGCAGGCCTGCCTACTCTCCATTTTCCAAAGGCTCTCCCCCTCTCTTCACAGCTCATAAAATATAGTCTTGCAACGTTTGGTAGGTCCCCGAACTCTTTAGGGTGGCTTTTTTTTACAGGAGGCTGCAGTAGCAGGGGAGGGAAAGAAATACCTCTGCAGAATGTGGTCCTGAATGATGGCAACTCTGGTTGCCATCCCTGGGGGTTGCAACTACGCAGGCACTTACCTGGGAGCAGACAGCACTGAGATTGCAGCTGAGCAGAAAAAGCCAGAGGTTGTGCTGTAACATGAGCACCAATTGCACAAGGGGGTGGGGTGGGGGTGGGGGGCTTAATCATGCAACGGACTGTGTCACTGCAATCAGAGTCCTTGATGTCGGTCAAATTGATCTTTAAGGAGTTGGTTTTCTGCCAAAACAGTGCTAGCAGCCTCTTGTTTGAATAGCACAGAAATTCGCTTTGCGAATGCTCAAAGTGTTTGTTGGTGGGACAAACAAAACAGGATCCCACCCTGAAATGTTGGGGTGAAGTGCCATGGCCGTAAGTCACCTCTTCTTTAGAGCATTCCGATATTTCTCTCTCTTTTAAAAAAATTGAGTTGTTTTCTTTTTTATATATACAAACAGAAAAAAACAAAAATACCCATGAGGTTCAGGAGTGGAAAACATTTTGGGTTCAGAAATATTTTCTACCAAACCATAAGAACAATTCCATGCATTTTAGGAATCAAATGCACAGAGTCGTCTTGTGTTCGACATGTGAAAGTTTTGCTCGACTCAGAATTTTATTTTTCCAGATATCCTTGCTTAGGGGAAAATTATTCAGAAAGTTCCTTTGGAATGGCAGCTGCTATTGAAATCTCATTTGAGGGAGCTTTCTTGTTGGGCAAATGTCCAGGGATTTTGGTTTTGTTTGTTTGTTTGTTTGTTTGTTTGTTTGTTTGTTTGTTTGTTTGTTTAATCCCAGGGAAGACAAATGGCTTTATTAAGCCTAAGGGAAGAGATTGGATTTTGCCTGCTCTCAGGGAGATCCAAAGGTGCCAATACACTTCCTCAACAGAGAGAAGAGTCTTCCAACTAAGCCCAAAGCAAAGAAGGTTTTCATCAATAATATGGCCATATAGGAAAAGTTGCACACTCTGTGGTGTGAGGTGAAGCAAAACTACCTGGGGGTTGGTTTGCTTTTTTTTTTTTTTTAAGTTCCAGCTGGTGGTTTAGCTATAGCCCATGAACTTCTTGCTGTCAAGAAATGAGTTGATTACTGTAGCAGATTGGTTAAATGCACTGCTGTCATTACGCATGCTTGGAAGTCTGAGGTCCTTGCTGCAAATAGGCAAAGACGTAAGACACACACATCCTTATCTTGTGCATTCACTGCAGGCAATTCTTAGAGAGAAGTTTCTCAAGAATTTCACCCCCTCCCCCTTTGAAAATGTGGTGGGCACAAAAGGTAGCTTTTTAGATACTGGACCCTGATTTCAGAGAACAAGGGTTGCCCCTCGGAAATTCATTGTCCTCCCCTTGTCCCCTCAGTGCCTTTGGTCAAACAGGCACAGGGGGTTTCTGTAAGACCATCAAAGCCTGCTGTGCCTTCTTGACCAGAAGAAGCCAATGGGGGGGAGGCAGGAAGGGAAATGATCCCTGTGTTTCTTTAGATGAAAACTACCTTCTGCACACCACTCCAAAGTTGGGACACAGCTACGGATTTACTTGCCAATTTGTAAAGTAACAATATTTTTATTTAAGGCAATCTGTTTGCCAATGACGGCTTCACCTTTAAACTTAGGATCCTTGAGATTTTCAAGGACAATCTTCTGGAAGAGGACAGCCCTAATAATTAGCTTCTTAAGTTCACTCTCAGGGAAATCAGGCAAAAAAAGTATGTATTGCCCAGGTAGGACTGTATGACTGACAGAGTGTTGCTTTAGTGGTTACCAACCTTCGGTCCTCTGGACATTTCAAAGTCCTCTGAGATTCGAATTCCCAGAGTCCCCGACCAATGGCCACGCTGGCTGTCGCTTCCAGGACTTAAGGTCTAAAACATCAAGAGGACCAGGGACTGAAAACTGCTGGTCTTACGCTGGGTTTGAAAAGAACTTATAAAAGAAGTCAGCTCACCCATAATTAGAAAGCATGTGTGACCTTCAAGGGACAGGACCTGTAACCTCTGGAAGACACAGAACCCCATGGCACCTGAAAGGACTGACACATTTTTGTAAATATTCCAGGGGGCATGCATTTTGCTGCAAAGGGAACAGCCTTAAACCCAAATTAACACCAGGACTTTTTTTTTCAGCTGACTCCTATTGCAGCCTTCCTCAACCCAGTGCCCTTTGGATGTTTCAGGATTACAGTTCCCATCAGCATGGGCCATGGGTGGAGATGATGGGAGCTGGAACACCTCACATCTAGAAAACACCAGATGCGTTGAAAGCAGGCTGCATGTAGCCATTCCCCTTAGCACAAGATTGCTAATCAATGTAATGGATTTTGTGGGTTGTTTTTTTTTAACCAAGTGGACAGCCAGCTCTTGCTGGTCTGGCTCAGAGAGGCATCCTACAAATTGCTGGGTCAAATTGGCAAGTTCAAACAATGATCATCAACGCGATCCGGCACCATGAGCGTTCGTGATATTTACAAAAGCGAGGGCGCAATCCGAAAGTCTCTGTACACAAATACACAAATAATGGGGGTGTTGAGAGGGGAGAGAGTTCTCCCTAAAGGAAGAAACAAAAGCATCCCACTGATGGAATGGGGGGTGAAGTCTAGTGAGGAGCCCCCCAGCTCAACCAATCTCAGTCACGTGATGCAACCCAGTGAAAGGCTAGCTACTGACGCTTGAATCAAAACAGGCGATTCAAGATCCCCAAACCAGTGCAAAGTTGGTTCGGAAGAAAGGAAAGTCATTTACAAAGAAGATCCAGCATAGTCACTTCAGGTGGTTTGCAAAGGATAACAGAGGAGAATTGAGTTTTCCAGGTGGTGATTGTACTAAACAGGCAACATCACCTCTTACCACATCCGAAAGAGCTTTCACAGCAGGTATTATGCGGGCTGATTTTCTTTTCTTTTTTTAAAAAAGCTTTTAAAGGAAAATGTAATTTCTTCTCCAAAATTAGTAGATGGTGTGAGACAGGGGATTAGAAACCAATTTTCCTCTCCAGAATTGGTAGAGGATGCCAGTAATTGGATGAATATGGGAGGCGGGTAGGTAGCCAATGGAGAGTTTTTTATTTTATTTGCAAAAGAAAACGAGGCAGAGATGGATACAGACTGAGATTTATCCCGGATCTCCTTCATAAATGTTGTTCAATGGCCTGGCAAACATTCCAGGAAATGTTGCAATCCATGTTATGGGTGGAAATTTTTTTTTCCCCGAGAGAAGAAAAAAATAATAAAGCTAAATAAGGAAAAAAGAAAAAAGAAAGAAAAAGACACAAAATGTTAATGATGTTATTAGTTAAGAGAAGCATGCAAGTGTGTCGCTAGGACCAGACTACACCTTCCTGTGTCGGGAGGAGGGAGGGGGGGTACCTTCAAGGCGTCTAAATTTGCTCTGCTTCTAAAAGGAGACTTTTTTTGACACAGAGAAGTCCACTGAAATCACAAACAGACAGAAGTAAAAGGCAGAAAGTGAGACACAGAACGACAGCGAGGCGAGGAGACTCTGCAAAGAGATACAGGCAGCACCTGAGAGGGGGGAAGAGGGGAAAGGCACAAGAAAGAAAGGACATATGAGAAATCGGACGCATAAAGACGAATAAACTACAAGAGAGCAAGACAGAACGGGGAAAGCAGCCGGCTGGAGGCGGCACAGTTTAGAGGAGAGAAAAGGCTTCGATAACACTCTCAAAGTCAACTTCCCAGGAATGGAGAGAG